ACACTGCCGGTTTGCATGCTGTGGCCGCTAGACACGCATTGTACACTTCTGTCTGTTTGTTCCATATCAGGAAGTAGCCGGCTGCCACCGGGATTAGCTTTGGCAGGAATTCTGGATGGAAGCCGCCGACACCGCTGACCTTACTCGCCGGAGGACTCGGCCCCTAACACCTAAACCCCTAACCGCTTTAAACCCCTAGCCCTAAACCCTAGACCCTAAACCCCTAACCCCATAACGCCATAAACCCCTAGCCCTAAACCCCTAAATCCTGACAGGTCTGAGGGCCCCTCTGTTAAAGCCACCATCCCTGGGAACCCCCAAACCCTAAACTCTAAACCCTAAGCTCTAAAACCGTGAACCCTAAGACCCTACTTCTCACCTCCGTTAAACCGGGTTCTGGATAAGACAGCTTAATCTAAATTACCACTATAGCGATCTATAGTACATAATATGGCTTCCTTATTATGGTAACTTAAGCTAAACCCCTAAAGCCCTAAACCCCCAAAACCCTAAAAGGCCTTTAGGGCCCTTCTCTTAAAGCCAGCCATCCCCTCGTCGGAAAATTCGGGGCCCTGGCGGCTCGACTCTTAGAGCCCTCATCTGCGATAGCCTCGGGGGCCGGCTGCAGTCAACTACGTGGCCCCTAAACCCCTAAACCCTAACCCTAAACCCTATACCGCTAAACCCTAACCCCTAAACCCCTAAACCCTCAACCCTAATCCGAAACTCCTATACCCTTAATCCTAAACCCTAAGCCCTAAACGCTCCATTCAGGGTGATCCATGGCTCCTGTAAGGGATCTAGGGCTTTGCGGTTCCTTTAGAGGGGTTCTATAAGGGCTTCTGTGAAGTAGGGTACTAATAGGTTTATATAGGGGTTGAGTGTTTAGGGATAGAAGGTCCTTAGTCTTAGTGGTTCCTTTAAGGCGTACTGTAGGGTTCTATCATGGGGTCTGGGGTTCTCGCCAGCGTGCGGACCTTGCGACATTGGCACAGGTGACTTCGGTGCGTCGGGTTCGGCACTGGCTGTTCTACTGGGTGCTTCCTGAAGCCTGGGGTGTGGACAGATCCGTTTATAAAAACTGCTGTCAGCACGTTTTGCACCCTCAACACATGGGCACATCAAGCACTCGCAAGAACTCTTTTGGGTACATGTCAATATAATTGCCCTCGTGGAGGTTTACTGCCCCGCTTGGAGGATGTAACGATGATTTCAACAAGGTACTTATACTAGCACATGACCTGCGACGGAGTAGAAGCTATGAGCTGCACATGTGCCTACACTGGCAGAAAGCAAATTGCAGCACGGGTATCCCCCAGCCCCAAACCAGAAAGATAAGAGAAGCCAGCATTGAACCAAACTGGTTCCATGATTCGGATTTTGCTTCCATTTCCATGGCCTTGAACGATTAGAGCAACCCTAACTAGACCCAAACCCTAAACCGTCGTAAACCCCTAGTACAGTGGCCTTTACAACAAATTAGATAGGATTTTGGGTTCGTGCAGTTAGAACTAGTAATACGGAACCCCAAGGAATATTGTTGGTCTGCTTGCTAAGTGCCCGGAAAGCCCAACACCCCTTGATTAAGGAATATACCTGATATACACCGTAATTTCCCCCCCCGCCCATAATTGAAGCTATATTCCTTAGTTAACGGGTGTTGGGATCTCCGGGAACCTAAACCCTAAACTCCCTAAACCCTCATTAAGCAAACCCTCAATACCCGAAACCCTGAACCCTAAACGGTTTAACCCTAAACCCAAAGCCCTGGACCCTAAAACCCCAAGCCCTGAACCCTAAAACCCTTCTCCGAGGGCTGTGCTGCTCCGCTGCAGCTGCTGGTTTCGCCGCCTCCGAGTAGGACACTTGGACCCTCAAAGGAGCCCTTAAGGGCCTTCGGGCAAGCTTGAACCACCCACAAGTCCAGCTCATGGTTGGGATAGGATTAAAAATCTACAATTTTATTCATTATTGGGATTAAGTATCCACAAAAATTTACAATGACAAAGAACTCTAACGAACATTGATCAAAGGAACATCGACCATGCGTGTCGCAAGAGTCGTTTGTTGGATTGACCGCGCTGCTCAAGATAATGTAGAGACCTGAAAAACTACGAGTACTAACTATCTTATAAGGCTCCTGATCGCAAAACCCTAAACCCCTAAACTCTATAGTCTACCCCCACCAAACCTAATCTAATGCTTCAGTCCCCTAGCATATACCGAACTCAGAGATGCTGATGATGATGAAGCCGAGGCTGTGCAGTATCACCCTCAGCCATTCTCATCCTCGTGACTACTATAGCAGACTGAACAATGATCAGTATCGTTCTTAGGGTGTCTGATTGTTCTATACCCCAAAATGCTGTTGTAATTATTAAAGCCTCCATAGTAGCATCAGCTGCTTGGGCTTGACATGGAGCACTTTCGAACCGAACCACTGACTACATAACCCATTGCCTTTGCAAAGACATTGAGAGCACAGTTGTAGCTCACCACATTCGGCGAGACCTGGCGCAGCGAGTCTAAGGAGGTATTTATATCAAGGACCATGGGACTTATTACAGTGAAAATACTGTATAAGAACCCACTGTTTAAGAACCTGAGCCCCTACCCAACGCGGAAATCACCAGATTCAAGTTGCCTCAACATCAAGAACCTTAGGGTACCCTAGTTTTTCGGGTCAGGTTCTTAATTTTTTGGGTGCTTTCCCTCACCAGGAAATTTAGAATCGAAAACTAAATTTGCCAACCTTACACATCAAGAAACCCTCTGCCCGAACATAATGATTGTATGATGGCTAACAACAGCATTCATGCCGCAGCGCAGTGGTTTTGCATGGGTTCGGGTGGCAAGTGTTCATGTTTCGATCCCCAAGGGTGCCAGAATCTGAAAATTTAGAATTGAAATCTAAATTTCCCAGACCCTGGAAACTACCATCTAGACCCTGAGCGCTGTGCTTCCGCGCAGTAGCAATAGTAGCGAGTACTACTTAGTACTTATTCTATTACGACTGCTACGACTACGACTACACTGCTCCTCCCTCCAATTAGGGTTTAGGGGATAGGGGTGAGGGTAGGCTGATGGCCTCTGACCCACACAAACGGCATCAGGAAATTTAGAATCCGAAAGTAAATTTCCGGTCTTCCTCCAAACCACAAAAAAAACCCTCGCCCACGTGTGGGACACAAAAACGGTCCAGAACAGCCCCCCTGTAGTGCAGTGATTCTGCATAAGCCCTGCAGGGAGAGGGCCTGTTTCCCCGGGGGTGTCATGCCGCTGCGGGCTGCCAAACCGCAGCTCGTATTCCACTGAAACAGAGCCCCTTGCCACCAAACTGTGGAAATTTAGAATTGAAATCTAAATTTTCCCACCAGCCTCCTGGTCCCGGCCCAAGCCACACCCATGGCCCATGGCCCATCAACCCCACAAGGAAATTTAGAATCCAAAAGTAAATTTTCTGGTGGGTCTCTGGCCATGCCCTCTGCCCCGAGTCCTTTCGAGGAGCTGTGGAAGTTTAGAATTGAAAACTAAATTTTCCAGACCCCCATGGCCCAGAATCCAAAAGTAAATTTTCGGGGGGTCTCTGGCCATGCCCTCTGCCCCGAGTCCTTTCGAGGAGCTGTGGAAATTTAGAATTGAAAACTAAATTTTTCAAACCCCCATGGCCCATCCACCCCTACAAGGAAATTTAGAATCCAAAAGTAAATTTCCCAAGACCCCGGTCCGGATAAGAACGTGGTTAAGAACCTGAGCCTACCCTAGCTGCTCCAACGGCAAAATCACATGTAATGGAAATTAAGAACCTTAGGGTACCCTACTCTCGCCGAACGGGGTTCTTATACAGGGTTTTCACTGCAGTATGAAGATAAAACCCTAAACCATGCACTTCTAGCTCGCTTCAGTTTAAGCGACTTGCTAAGTTCTTCGATCCTCCATATACTGCTACTCTGGATCTTGTGGCATCCTCTACGAAAACTGCACCCGGGTTTATTGCTCTAGCCGGTGTAAGATTTGGCGAAACCGCAGTATGTCCGTGAATGGCTCGGGCTACACTTTCGGTCGCAACTTGCTTCTAAACAGGGCGAACCTCCCTGCCCTCCTGAAAGAGAAACAAAAGACCGATAGTCTCCATTGTAGTTCCTTTGTCTGGTTTATCCATTTTTCATTACGGATCCTAAAAGGTAACCCCGAAAAGGAACTACAATGGAAACCCTAAACCCTAAAGCCAAAACCCTAAACCCCGAAAAGGAACTACAATGGAGACTACAGGTAAGACGAACCGGGTCGAAAGAGCGCATGACTGGGAACTGGCTGACAAAAGCCTCTTCGTTTTTTGGCCCCGGGCTGCCCAGAGCCTCCAAAACCCCTTAATTAAGGAATATACCTTAAATCATATAAGGGACCTACTGGTTTTGGAGGCTCTACAAGGTCCTCAGAATTGACACCAAGTAAATACCCCTAAGCCGCACATCCGACTCCGGAAACCCGCAGCTATTATAATTACTAAGTATAATGCGCCCCAAAACACTGTTCGAATTATTGAGGCCCTTATATTACAGGGGTCAAGGTTCAGGGCACAAGGACTCTGCCAACCCTGGACTCAGAAGCTCAGCGTGTCTAGGTTCTAGACATTTCTGTCCGCTTTCGCTTTCTTGGCTGGCGGAGCTCGGTGAAACCATCTCAGGCTGCATGAGCGCTGAGGCATACATCGTGTAATCGGTTTCAACTCCTAGCCCTGAGCGATTCAACCACCGCTCTGATCATTGAAGGAGTAGATGCGTCAATGATGCTCCGGCCACAGCGATGTGCAGATGGTACTGATAGGACTCGAGCTGCTAGGTGATTCTTAGTTTGAGATCTCCGCCGGCATGCTGATTTTTCTGGTTGACATTGCTATAACTCTGGGGCCCTAATTACATGGTTTAGCTATACCTCAGGACAATTCTTCCTAAGGAGACTCTAAACCTTAAACCCTAAACCCTTAAACTATAGCTGCTTCAGACTGTCAGGTCCTCTTTCTTGCGTTCGGCGCCCGGGAAAGTGCCCAGCACAGGGAGGCAGGCACCTGACAAACGCATTCTAGCATAGTACAGCAACGCTTGCGGCAAACGCCGAGCTGAAAACCCCAGGCCCTAGACCCTGACCCTGACCCCGACCCAAACCTGAGCCTTAACCATGCCTACCCCGTGGCTCCAGTGCCTGTATCCGTTTCAGGCTCTAAGCCTAGACTGGGGAAGGGAAGCTGAACCTCCAGCTCAAAGGCTTAGCAGGCCAGATATACGAGCTAACTGAGAAGCCTAGAAACATGGGGTTTTATCCAAGCCTCACACCTTCTCCTGACTCCTCCAGTTCAAACATCGAACTTCCACTTCAAACCGCATCTAGAATCACATGGCCCTTCAGGGTGCCCTCAAACCACAAGTTCCCAGCGACCGCATAACCCTCAACTAAGGAATCTACCTTAAATAAGAATATTAGTGCTACCAAAATTTAAGGTATAAGGAATCTACCTCACATGATAATGTTAGCGCCCCTTAAAACTTTAGGTATAATCCTGTTCCTTAATTAAGGGGTATTGGGACCTGTGGGTTAGCACGAGGATTCCAAAGGAGCAGCGCCGACCTCACTCCCGGCGCAGAAGATGCAACACACCCAGACTCATTCCGGCCTTCTAGCTCCCAACCCTGATGGTCCTAAGTAGGTATTGCTATGGGGGATACTTCCCCAAATGATAAGAGCAACTCCTAATGTAGAAGCCCTACGTTCTACTATATAGGAACTTTGGACCCTTTGGGCAAACCTCGTAAGGCTTAAAAGGGCTCCAACCCTAAAATCTAAACCCCTAAAACGGAAAAGGGCTGCAACCCTAAACCCCTGAAATCCTAAACCAAAAAAAAGGGCTGCCACCCTAAACCAACCTTAAACCCTATACCCTAAACTCCTAAACCCTAAACCCCTAAACTTCTGAGCCCTCAACCCTAAGCCCTAAACCCCTATACCCTAAACCCCTAAACTCTAAACCCCTAAACCCCTAAACCCTATACCCTAAACCCTGAAGCCAGTGCCCCGGCCTAGGGTCAAGACGAGACAGAGGACGCCCTGGCCAGGCTCGCAGCTTCGTTCCGGGACGGAGTTTTCGGGGCTTACGTAGGGCTTTGGGGTCTCAATAGAATAGGGTTTGGGTGTTTAGGGTTGAGGGTTTAGGGCTTACGGCTTTGCTTAGGGTTTAGGGTTTAAGGCTTTGGGGGGTCTTATAAAATAGGGTTTAGGGTATGGTCTAGGGTATAATTCAGGCTTTAGGGGTTTAGGGTTTAGGGCTTTGGATGTGTCTCAATAACTAGAGTAGGGTTTGGGTTTTCGGTAGGGCTTTGGGGGTCTTAATAACTAGAATAGGTTTTGGGTGGTATGTTATACTATAATTTATTGTTCTAATTTAGAACAATAAGAAGGGGCCTTTAACTCCCTATTCTCATTGTAAGGCCCGTACAAGTTGGGCTTTGCGTGAGGTTCAAGCATCCCGTTTTTTGAGGCCTGTGGAACTTTATATATACAGCTTCAGCGACCCGTCTGGAAGGCAGGATCAGGATGCCGAGTTCAACCGTAAACTGCTCTACTGAACCCCACAACCCCTCTATAAACTCTGCCCCCGACCCTAAACTAAACCCTAAACTTAAACCCTAAACCCTCAAATCCAAATCCCTAAACCCGCATCCCTACATCTCCCAGCTCCACGGATCGAGCGGAAGTCTCTGCAAGTACAAGTGTTAGGGTGGCTCAGGCCTCGGAAGGCCACATCTTGTTAGACGACGAAGGGCCCTGATCCCTAAACCCTAAACTTTAAGCCCTGCCGGGTAGCTTGGTGAAGAATCCACCACATCGAGAATCCAGAACAGGCGGAAGCTAAGGATCTAGGACATGAAGCATTCTAGCCTAACTCTGCTTCTATGCGATATGCACAAACAATGTCTGATGCATAAACACACCCAAGCTCTACATCCTAAACTCCTAAGCCTTCTGCTCCAAATTCCCTACTGGTCCTACCGTCGGGCTTCCGTCCGCCCTAACCAGTCCAGCACCCCCCGCCTCCCCCCTCCCCCGCCGAACCCTAAACATGCTAAACCACGAATTGCAAAACGCCAAGTGCACAGAAAAAAAAAAGCAACTCCCAAATCGCCCCACCGCTACCCATAGGCCCCATAGTAGTTCCTTGTTGGGTTCATATTTGGAATCCTAAAAGGTAATCATGGGGCCTATGGTAGAGCCCCCACAAAGACCCACTGACATCCTATGGAGAACACAAAAAATCAACGTGCTACGAACCGCCGGCCGGCCCCTATACAGCCCATGCTTCCACAAAAAAGCTTGATTAGGTCCTTGATCTGGGCATTAAGGCCTACCCCCCCCCCCGCTCCCCCTACCCCCTAAGGGTCCTTGAGCTTCCCTAAACCCTAAACCCTGAGAGTCCCTATGACAAGCAGCCGGCCTGCTGTCTATAGGAGATACGTGGGTCTAGGTCGATGAGCCAAGCCTTCAGTCGTTCTTAGGGGATCTTGCATGGTTTTGGATTTTAGGGTTTAGGATTTTGTTGGGGTTTGGGGTTTCAGGGTTTATGGTTTACGGTTTGGGGTTGTGGGTTTTAGGGTCTTGGGGGTGTAAAAAGTTTAACTTCAGGGTCTTAGGGGTTCAGGATCAAATCTAGTGCTAGGGTTTTAGGGTTTTCGGGGCTGAGGGGTTCAGGGCTTTGGGTTTAGAGTCAGATGTTTGGCTTACAACCTACTTGCCCAGCATCCTAGGGGAACTTGGGGCTAAGCTTTGGGAGTAAATGGGGGTTGTAGTCCCCGCACACAGGTCAAAGGTTACTGACTCTACTATTACTTTGGTCGTCTTCGGAATTTGAAAGTTTTTTTTGTTTATACTGCTTTGTAGATAATATATTCTGATATGTGGTCTTCAATGGGCTCCATGGTTAAAGGGGTGTTACGTGGGCTTTTCGAGTGTTCGGCGGGCTTTTGATGTGTTCAGGGTGAATGGGTTTTGTTTTGACGCCGTCTTGTGTGCAGTCCGACAAGAAGCCCGGTGGGGGGATCATTCGAAAGTTTCCGGAAATTAAACATTCCGGCACAAGCCTGGGTAAACTCCTGCTCTGTCCTCTTCGTGAGCAGCTTGCTTGCGCTTCATATTGCAATTCCTGTACTGCAACGCCAACTTCGGCAACAGCTTAGCTTGGCTGCTTGCCATTGAGTTTGCATTCTCTGTGGCATCAGGCAGTGTGACTTATAAGCAAATTGAGACAGCAACCACAATGATGGACATGACATAAGCCTTTAACCATAGTGGGTTTGGGGCTTTCGCTACTTTAAGGATCGAGGACCCTATGTCGGGCGGCGTACAGTCACGGGCAGGGTAGGGCTGTATAAAGGTCTGAGGAGTTACCAAAACTTACCCAAACTATTCGCCTTGCCGGCCTTGCCGTCCCAGTGTAGGTGGTCTATACTACACCCCGAAACACTCGTCTAATTATTCTTGGCTGACTTCTGAACCCCTCCTAGAAGTTAAACTTTTAGCCTCCTTATTATGGTTCATAAAAAGTTAAAGTCTAAAGAGCCAACCAGAAGAACGCCAAGTATTAGCACCCGTAGTACAGGGGTTGTTCGGGAGTGAGGCCTAAGATGCGGCCAACGGCACCATCCCAGCGCCCAAAGACTGGACCCCCTGCAGGCAGGACGTTCCCAGACCCCCGGAAGGATCTAGAAAGTACCTATAGTCTCCATTGTAGTTCCTTTTTGGGATTACCTCATAGGATCCTGAATATATAACTGGTTAAACCAAAAATTTGATCTACAATATAGACTATAGGTAGATCCCTTAAGGGGGTTCCCATTAAGCACCCTTAATAATTTTAGGGTTCCAGATCAGAGATTCTACTTTCTAGACCCTCCCAGGGGGTCGGGGCTTTGGGGGTTGTGCGTTCTCCATGGCTTTTTGCCGGTATGCAACCCCATAACCCGGCAATGAAATCAAGTTCGGGCTAGGTTTGCATCATATACACCTCAGGACCACTGGTTATTAGTTCGACTGTCGCTTTTTCTATTCTTTCGGGGGGGCGGCCTCTGAGGCTCAGGTTTGGACTGTACAGTCAGAGAGGGAGGATCCAAAAAGTAGATCCCTCAAGGGGGGTTCAAATAAAAGTACCCCCCAAAATTAGGGGATCTACTTTCCAGATCCTCCCGTAGGTCTGGGTAAGTATAGCATCATCACCTTACGGATCCATCTGGCACTAAAGGGAGGATCCTATTTGCGGCGGTCTTGGCCTCTCTCGGTAAGTTTCCAGGTCTGAGGCGTTATGTTTCAGGGTTCGTGAAGCTTTCACACTTGTCCCCCTTCGGGTAGCGGGCGGCGGCGCTACGATTTTCATCGCTTTCACAAGAGCTCAGTCATATTCTGCCAGCGACAGGGCACACCTGCACGACGATACTATGCTGCATTAGGTTTTACATTGCTGCCCCATATGGCAACTTGGTGACAGTGGAAGGACCGCATAAATTAAAGATTCCCTGCTCGTATGCTCAGGTTTCATACATTCCATATATGCCTTTCGTGCTCATAGATAGGAGGTGCAGCAAGCGCCATGAGTCAGCCTGACAATGTGTTCCTCTGATGAGCCATAGAGCCCTCACCGGCAGAAAGCCGTGGGCTTTTCGCATCTTTCTCCAGGGAAGGCTTGGAGGAAGGATCTGGGCTTGCAAGCCCTGTTCCTGCTGCTCATCACCTGCACTGTTTATCGTCGAATCTTGTGTATATGCACGTACATGTGTACCTGCATGTGTATATATATATATACACACGCGCATGCATGCGCACTAGCTGTACGGTGTCTTGACGTGACAGTCCTTTAAGCTGGTTGTATATACACGGTGACCGTGATTTGCATGCTGATATGTCAATATCCAAATAGGCGCATGTCCAGCTGCCTTGTAGGCGGCCGAATACATGACCGTCTTGCGCACGTTGCTTCCAGCCGCCGTGGACATCAGCCAGTACCTTGAATCACAAAGGTTTCCCAGTGAGCTTCACTCACAGGTGCTAGGGCTCTTCATCCTAAGCTCTAAACTCTAAACCCTCTAAACCCCTAAACCCTAAACCCCCAAACCCCCTAAAACCCTAAAACCGTAACCCCTAAACCCGAAACCCCTAAACCCGAACCCGCGGTAGTACGTGGGGGTTACGCCGGCTTACGAGCTTTAGACGGTCGTTTGAGTTCGGTCCAATGCAACCTGGGTTTCGAGACAAGGACCGGCGTATAATAGTATCCTTAAGGGAGGGTTTAGGGGTTAGGGTTTAGGGTTTAGGGGTCAGGGGGGTCCAAGGGGAGTAAAAAGCCTAGTGATTCCTAATTCTCCCGACTACTCCCTACGGTTCCCTTAGAGTCCCCTCAGGATTCCTTGTACCCTCCCCGCTTGAACCCACCCTGCCTTAAGGATCCGAAAAGCGTAACCCTGCAACATCAACCTAAACTCTACGTCCTTTAAGGGATCTATAGGGGCTCTAGGAGGGTACTAGAAGGGATACCAGAAGGAAACTTGAACGGGCTCTATGAGGGATCTACAAGGGCTGCATAAGTTTTTGTATAAGGGCTTAAGTCTGCTTCATGTTTCCTGATTTCAAAAATGACCAGGCCCGAAAATGCTTCCTGTTCTAATCCTCACGAAGGTTGAAGGGTTTAGTAGTGACTGGTCTACAGTAATCATGCCTACTATGTCTATAGCAGTTCGGGATCTAATGTAGGGGCGTTACCAGTAATAATTAGAATAGGATTTGGCAGGTTCTGTATTATAAGTACAATATACTATACCCCAAAACCCCTCTCCAATTTATTGAAGCCCCTACATTGGGATTTCGGGTTCAAGACAAGACCCTGGAACCGAAGCCAGTTCCTGTAACAAATAATATATTCAGGGAACTAAAGGGGTCCGAATAAGGGTACTACAAGTATAAGGAAACTAAGGGGCTCTTTAAGATGGTTCTGTGTCAAAACTAGAGTTGATGTTGCGGAGCGAAAGCATCTTTAATTCACCGGAAGCAACATGAAACGCTCATACAGTTCTGGGGGAAGCCAGCAGCACGCCCCCACCCTCTGCATCCTGGCGACGCATAGTTCTGGTAGATCGCATCTGCAGCACCCAACCTTAGGTTGAAGGAGCAACCTTAACTCATGTTTTGCTGATGGTTTAGCTTTACCTTAACCCCAAGTAACCTACCTTTTTAAGGACTTAAATAAAGAAATCATATTAGGGAACCCTAAAAAGGCAGGTTGCTTAGGGTCCGGGTAGATAAAGGAACCCGACAAAGGAAAATCTCAGGGCCGAACAAAGCAAAGACGCACATGGGCCGCAGGGCGTGCCTTGAGGGTGCAGGGTTTAGGGCGTATGGCTTTTAAGGTTTAGGGTTTAGGGATTGTTTGCAAGACTTGGCGTTTGGGGTGCGTCGGGGGAATCTACGACGGCTGCATTCGGGTTGTTGCGCGCGCTGATGGGGCTCAGGGCTTAACAGGGCTCCAGGGACTTGGAAGGCCGTGTGATGATAATCAGCCAATCTGGCACCTTTGATGATTTGTTTTGGTTAGAGTTTGGGGACATACCCAGACCGTCCAAAATCCCTTAATTCAGGAATATACAATAAACCATAGTAGGGTCCTTAATATGATTTAAGGTATATTCCTGAATTAAGGAATTTTGGAGGGTCTGGGTAACATGGACTATAAGACTATGAGGGGTTACGGTTATAGACTAAGGATTCCGACCCCGATATTGGCCTTCGTGAGCTCCCACGGCCTTGAAGCAGCAAAATCTAGAAATCTAAGCATTGAAGAAAAGCCAAGTTTGAGATAGTGATAGGGCTTAGCGTGTGGATGATGATGGTTTCCGTTGAAAGTAAGGGCTATGCCCTAAGCGCTACACCCTGAACCCTGGAGATTAGCAATTGGGAGTTCATCGAGCCCATGAACCCCAAAGCAAGGAGACCCTAAGACTAAGATTGAAGTCTGACGCCCTCAACCTCGGGCTTACCGGCATTGTCTTGGGTTTACGGGCTTCGGGTGGCTTCATACATGCTATTGCGATACAGAACTTCTGGGGACCCTTCAAGAAAAGTTTAGGATTGTGGCGGTGTCAAGATGTGTCCAGCAAACATCATTCCTTCCACACAAGCACGGCAGGAGCACGGGGCATCGTGCCAGAAGTCAAGAGCACAAGGGGCACCTTCCAGATCAGTTGCAATGTCCCATCTGGGTGTAGGCGATGAGACTTCAAAGCTTGCGAATCAGACAGTGTTTTACGTGCAAGGTAGGACTAAACTAGTTATACCGTAGACTTGCGCCCGCACTACATCACAACAGAACAGTCTCAGCATTCAGGATCCATGTCTCGTTGGGAGAAGTGCCGCTTGTGTCCAAGCATCTCAGTCGAGAACGCAACTTGGCTTAGGGTTTAGTAGGGCTAGGCATTCACGGGGTCAAAGGAGCAGGTGCTTGACTCATCTAGTGATGGTGCCTGGCCCCTGTAAACCTCAAGTAGTACATCTCCAGCTACCAACCTTGACCCAAACCCCTGGGATTCTACGCCGTCTCAAGGCCCCATCGGCAGGCGCTGCCTTTGTCCCAACCAATGTGCCCACCGCAAGGCAAGCTAGAGCTGTCCTGGTCCGAGCTTGGGGGAATACTGAACACTCAAACTCCGCGACCTACCAGGACGGCCGCCGTATGCTCTGTGCGGATCTTGTATTCCTGTAGGGATTCGGGTATGTAGGAGAAGATGCATAGTTGGACAATGCAGGCAGAACCCGAACACTTCAGCCGAAAGCCAAAGCCCTGTTGAATTCGAAATCCTAGCTGGAACCCGAAACCCCCGATTTGTGCAGATAGATCACTGATTAATCACCGGCTCCGTTGGAAATATACTAGGGGTTCTTTCATGGGGAGGCCGTCAGGGCGATACATAATCGTGAAACTCCCTCGATGAATCCCGAAGACGGGTCCTGTAATGCCCATCCCAGGGAAGTCAACAGTCCGAGGCAAACGAGTATCATGCCATTCCTGGCGATGGATTCGGGCTTCATCAGGTTCGTCTGGACTTGTGCAGGGTGGCCGTAGGGTTTCGGGCCCCGATAAAGAAGCCTGAATTATTGGTAATACTATTCCAGGCGGCTATGATTGTAACCGTAGTATGCTATGTGCCTCTTGATTTTTGTGTTTTGGGGTAGTCAAGCCTAAACCCTGACCCTAAACTTGTTCAAATCATGGGGACCTTAACGGCGTTCTAGTAATTCTAGTATGCTTAGATGGGGACGAATCATTCCGACCCCCGCATCATAGGGTAACATTACCCCCCAAAGCTCAAACTTCTCTCTGACAGGGTCGGCGTGGTCTGCCCCCGCCTCGCTCGCAGCTTCGCTGGGCCGTCGGCATCGAGCACCTGCACAGTGCAAGGCTCGCTTAGAGTCTAGGTAAAATAACGGCAGCTAAAGTTTTATGAAGTTTTATCCGTCTTAAACAGCGCGGCACACTCACTCTATGGGGTTCTTACATTACCCAGGGCTCTAGTTGCTTATAGCAGGAGCCCTAAACTAAACCCTACACCCAAACCCTAAACCCATTATTTAGGTTACTGTAGCCCTAGGATCAGTTGTAAACGGCAAATGGATAGGCGCGCCAGGAATAGTCGGGCTATGATAGGGAACCACTCAAAATAGTATTTGGTAATTATTTAGGCTCCTATGTTACCCAAATGCCAAAGCCCGGAATGGCCTTGCCAAAACGCCATGCTGCAAGCATCTGTGCTGCCCAGAAAGACGCAGAGTTCAGGCCGCGCGTGCGAACGTTGAACCTAGCTTCAGAGGCACTGAAGGGACTTGGGGTGAGATAAGGCTTCAACAGATGGCCTGTGTGGCTCCTCGCCACGGCCCTCTGGTACGATAGTAATTGTGGCTCACGCCGCAATATAACTCTAAACTTGTTCGATGCAGGATCCTTCTTTGCGAATATCCCAAGTCCAAACCCGAACATATTCTCAAACACGAAAACAAAAATAAGACCCAAGATCACGAAACAGGCTTACACTTACCAACTGTCAACAAAAGCCACATCTACACTTGGAGGATCAGGGGACTTAGTAAATTAGTAAGTAGGGTTATAAGTAAGGTAACTATAGTTATCTCTACTTGTAACCCTTAATTATGGTACTTCTAACCCTACTTACTAAGTCCCATGATCCTCTAAGCACGCTCACCCAAATAACACCATACAAGGCCCGCCTTTATGAACTCTCTTCGGTTTGGTACCCAGGCCGCCGGGAGGATCCAGAAAGTAGATCCCCTAATTTGGGGCCCTAGACTACTAAGGGTACTTTATAGCAACCGCCATTAAGGGATCTACTTCTTGGATCCTCCCGGGGGTCTGGGTAGAGTCTCAGCTGACAACGAGGATGGGGTGTCTTGCAAGGCTACTGCATTGTATGGTCTCGCGTAATATCACATCAAGGCTTTTTCTGTTTTGTTTAGACTGCTACATTGCTCACGGTACGTCTCTTGTGTGATAGTCTAAATGTCGTGCTACCAGCTACTGTGCTGTATTATCTTACCTGACATGATGCACATCGTATCATACCCTGCACCATGCCAGGGTAGACGAAGGACAGCGACACACCAGGTAGCCACTTGCGATACCCAGACCCCCGGGAGGATCCAAAAAGTAGATCCCTTAATTAAAGTACCCTTAGTAGTTTAGGGCCCCGAATTAGGGGATCTACTTTCTAGATCGTTTCGGGGGTCTGGGCACTAGCACCAAGCTGTCAGGCCCTTATCTTACGTGCATGTCCGTTTCGGCGGCGAAGGAGGGGCACAGCCAAGACCTGAGTTCAGCTTGGCGGCTGATGCCCATTGAAGCCGTTGAAGTCGTAGGTGTAGAACCAGTTGGAAGCCAAGTAGAACAGCAAGTTACCTTAACTACTATTTGCTTAAGAACCCCCAAAAAATAAAAAATATATTCCTTATGGGGGTAATATAGGGATTATTATTTTTATTTTTTGGGTGTTTCTTAAGCAAATAGTAGTTAAGCTTGAACAGGAAGCCAGAGGGACAATCCCCGGCTCCCGGTGTCGGGGTCTTATGTGATCAAATTGGCGTATGCAGTACTCGTCGGTTCGGGGTAACCCGCACGGCTTTGCTTCTCGTGCTGGTGCTTCAGCGCTCTCTACATCGATGCCGTGTGCCGACAGGCTGACATGCAGTGCAGATGAGATGATGGACCATGAACTTCATAAGCCTTTACCACTGGACATCTGGAGGGTCTTGTCAAACAACAGCACTACAGTAGAAGCCAGAAAGTTGGAATATCATTATCCTGACCCCTTTAAGGTAAATTATAGGGGATCCTACCATTAATCCATATTCCAACTTTCTGGAGTTCCCTTTATTGCAAGTGTCTGCCTCTGAGCAGCCAGGTAGAAGGTCTCCAAAGCAGGATCGTTTCCAAACACATGCGGCCATGCGACATCACAACTATACCGAACTTAGAACCCTAGCGAAAATTATAATTTTTGCTGTTTCTTAGGGATTATAATAACCAAAGATTAAAAAATATTTCTAAGTACCCCTAAGACAACACCTACTCTCTCCAGGCTCAGGTGCGCAGAACAAAAGGGTCTGCGATGGCAGAGAATGCCTGGGCCGCATGATTCTTCAACTGGGTGACAAGGATACAACCTTGGGGCTTTGGGGTTGAATTGGGGTTTATGGTTTAGGGTCGGAAGGGTGTGAGTCGTAGCTTGCACAGCCACGTTATTTTGAAGACCTAACACCCTCGCTCTCAGCTCGACGTGATGGCAGCCGAATCTGATTCTTGTGCCCTACCGCACCATCGCGAAACTCTGCAAACAAACAGTCCCTAATGGTCCATGTAACCAAATACTATATGTAGGTACTTCGGGGCCAAAGTATCTATTATCTGAGGACATGGACCGTTTGGGATTCATTACTGAAGAACGAGTGCCCCCATGCGTTTTACCGCAGCGGGGTAGCACGGTACATCATCTCATCCATGCATCGACCTATCCATCCATCCATCCATCCATCCTTCCATCTATCTATCCATGCATCCCCCCTTCATACACCCAACTACACCTCCCTCCATCCATCTGTCCATCCAGCCATCCATCCAGCTAGCCAGCCATCCGCCCTCCTTGTAAACTTCTGTAAACCCGTCTTTCAACCCTTCTAGAAAGCCGTCCAAAGACACCTTCTACAGCCCCGTCGGCCTAAATGCTTCCCCCCATGTACTGGCGGGATGAAGAGGAGAGTCAGTGCGGCCAACATACCAACAGCATGTTCTGGTAGGAAGCACAGACACACTACCAACGTGCTTCCACCCCTCCCATGTGCTGTCGGCATTCAATAGCACAGCCAACGTACATGCTTCTTCCCAGTTCAGAGATATGACCAATATGATTCCAAGAACTGGCAAGGTTCAGGGGCACGGCTGAGGACTAAGACCCAAATGCTTGCCCTCTACATACATGCAAAACCATCAAACCTTAAAACCTGAAAGCCAAAGCTTGGTCGTGATGGTTCCAAACTTTGAAGCCCTTAAACCCTGAAAGCTAAGCCGAAAAGCCCTAAACCCGTGTCTTTCGAAACCTGCAAAAAAACGCAGCAGCCGAAGCGCAGCGCGCAGCTCTGCCAGAGGAGACTCGGTCTGGCGGCAAAACCCAGAAAATCCGAGGTCCATCTAAATAAGGGTCTACAGTTTGGTCTCAAGTTTGGGTTTTGGATAAGGGGTTTAGAGGTTTTGATTTCAATGAAGCTTGGGGCCGAGGATGGAGTTAGTGCTTGCTCTGAACGCATGGTTTCTCCTCTTCCCAGAGAGCCCAATACCCCTGAAGTCAGGAATATAGCTTAAATCATGATATGAAGCGCTATATAAGTTGAGCCATATTCCTTAATTAAGGGGTATTGGGCTCTCTGGGTTCTTGAAGACGCAAACGGCTTTAGTCCACAGGCCACAACACCTCCGAAAACCCTAAGCCGTGACAGCGAACTCCGCACCCTGACAAAGCTGCCTGCTCGAAGAGAACTGGAGTACCATCTTCGCGCACTACGGATGACCTTTGGAGGAGGAAAAACCGAGCTTGGGCAAGCTGCAGCCCCTTCCAGACCTCCTTCAAACTCTGTTGACTAATATAGGGGCCTTAATAGTTTTGGTGTAAACTGCACTATAATATTTTTTTATCAGGAATTTTAAAACGGGCTTGAAAAGTAATCCTTAGGGGCTTGGGCCTTCCGGCTGAAGGTTAAAGAAGATTCAGCAGCGGGCAGGCGCCACTACAATGACCCCCGGAGGACCCTATACTACTGAAGGGTACTTTACAGAAACCCCCGTGAGGGAGCTACTTTTCCTCCCAGGCGTCTGGCTATGCTTCAGATCCTACATGTAGTGGAAGGATAGCAGAGTTCGCTTGTAGGGTGTATCAGTGCTAGTTGGGCTTCTTACCGACTTCCATTCTCCCTACGACGCAGACCTTCTGCTGAAATCTTGAAAACCCGGCAAATAAAGGTTCAATCGCTTCGTCGCGCAGAGCTTCAAGCCCTCAATCTCACCCGAAGTACCTGTCAAAATCGGGAACCTTCACTGAAGCAGGCTGAACAACAAACCTCAGCCTGCGTTACCACGATCGGGGCTCAAAATCAAGAAGCCAAACATAAACCCAGAACAGAACCCCTAAATCATACACCCTATAAAATCTCAAAGCCCGAAACCCCAAAGCCAAACCACAGCAAAGTTCAGCTGCGCGTCGGCTCGGCGAGCAGCACCGGTGCCAATGCAGCACCAGATACCATGACCTGCACTTCATAGTCATAGTGCCAGTGCTGCATAAGGTTCTGCAGGGCTTCGGGCTTTGGGGTCGTTGGGTTCAGGGCTCCAGTGCTTTTGGGCACGAGGGTGCATGTACCAGATACAGCCCTGAAAGTGTTTTAAATGCTGGTTTTATGCAGGTGTCGGGGTATGTACTTCACAAGCCTTCAGTCGTCAGAAAAGTCAAGCTCTTTAACGTTTGGCAGGTTGATACTGCAACCTTACCAGCATACTGACTACAACCCCGAAGAGGTACCGGTTGCGTACTCAGCTGTTGAGGCAACGGCCGTAAGAAAGGTTGGGGGCCCCAAAGCTTTCCAGGGTTCTGCGGTTTGGGTTCAGGGCTGCAAAACCTAATTGTAAGCTCCAGAGCAAAAACTTAACACCCGAAGAGAAAAGAAACGGCAACATGCGACTGAGGCAACTCACACCTGTACCCTCCAAAACCGAAACCATGGTGAAGATCGAAATAATCGGCATCGCACGAAGTTCTGGGCGTCCGGGCACATACGAACCTGAGAGCAAAAATCTGTGCTTTGCTGTAGGGTCTCGCAGTCTGTGGTACTGCTACTGCTGCTGCTACGACGACGACAGCTTTTACTGGCTTTTGCAGCCTTACCCGAAACCGACCAATTAAGTCCCACGAACAAGCGCACGCGCGCGCGCACGCACACACACACACACACACACACGCGCGCGCGCGCCCGCGCGCAAAAAACATCGGACGCTGCTGCTGGATTTCATACCCTCGTGTTGGACGGTTTGCGGCTTGAGCTCTCGAAATAGAGGAAACTCCGAAGCTCATCCATACAAAATCCCTCGCAACATCTCGCAACTTCTTCGAGAAAGTAGAGACCGAAACCCATACAAACCCTTCAGAAAGGTCTTCAAACACAGAGGAAGTTCATGACATACATCTTCCGAAGACCGCCTCAACTCCTCCAAACTCATTCGCAACAATCCCTGCGAATGCCAGCTCCCCAGAGGGCCCCATACCCCTTAATCAAGGAATATGGCATAAACTATATAGGGATTCATATTATGAGTTAAGCTACATTCCTGAATTAAGGGGTATTGGGCTCTCTGGCTCCGATGCAGCCGGCAGGCGTAAAGTACGAAATGGGGTTCGCCTTGGCCGGACTGAGGCAAAGACGGTTTAGGGTTTAGGGGTTTAGGGTTTAGAGTTTAGGGTTTGAATTGGTTCTACAATCCCCAGCCCCTCTAAAACAATATACTCGAAACTACGTCAAAAGAGAGACCCCAGATGTTCAGTACGACTTGTGGTGGATTTCACATCCGAGGCTCCAGGGTTAAGGGTGTAGGGGTTTATGGCTTGGGAGTTTTTTGGTTTAGGGTCTAAGGTTAAGGGTTTAGGGGTTTGGAGTTGAAGACTTAGGGGTCTAGGGTTTGGGGTCTCGCATTCTAAAGACTTGCAGGCTCAAGGCTTTGAGGTAACGGATGCCATAAACCCAGAGACTCCAAATTCCTCGATTAAAAAGTACAGTACTAGGTATATTCCTAAGTTAAGGGGGTTTTGGCATCTCTGGGAGCCCTAAGAACCCAAAACCCTATATAGATCCCTTATAGATCTCCCATACAGGTCCCCAGGTAGATCCCTTCTAGATCCCTTAACCAAGGGGTTTTTGAAGTCCTAGGCTGAGGAAACCTGGTGGGTAGTGGCTTCACTTAGAGGATCATGGGACTTAGTAAGTACAGCTACAAGTACCTTAATTAGGGTTATAAGTAGATGTCATATAACTGTAGTTATTTTACTTCTAGCCCTACTTACTAAGTCCCATGATCTTCTAAGCAGGTTCGAGGGACCACTTCAAAAGCTTCTTCGGGCCAGGCTACCGTGCCGAAAACCGGAACTAAATGACCTGTCCAAGGATGTATGAAAGGAAATCATGGTAAGGAACTTCATAATTAAAATGGGGGCTTGGAGACTCCTTGTTCTACGTAGTACAATATAGCCCATATTATTAAGGCACCTATACTAGGTTCTTTAGGGTCTAGGTGGGGTTGAGGGCGGATTCCTGGGAAACCTGCTCCTCTCCAGGGGATTTCGCCGGGTCGCGCTGCCGCCGGTCGTCTGAAAGTTCAGCGCAAACTGCAGCAGCCCACCCACGACGCCTTCTGGCTCTTAGTATGGAAGCAGGGTTCTTAGGTTCCTAGGGTTCCGTTAAAGGGTGCGATAATGGTTCCATTGAGGGGTCTATAGGGTTCAGGGTTTCGGGTCGACTTGTCTGGTGCTTAGTAGGGAAAGGGGGAATGCATCCCTATAGTAGTCCCTGTTTCATCCCCAACAATCGTCTCCATAAATCCATTCCCCCATTCCCTACCAAGAACCAGACAGATGATGCCCGGGATGCGTAGGGGTTATGGATTATGGCTTAAGCTCTGGATCGTCACAACACCCGACGAAACATGACAGTGCACACCGTCGTAAACCCCAAAGGGTCCGAAGTACCTATATGGTAGAATGTAGGGTTTCGGAATTACGTAGGGAAGTATCCCCCATAGCAGTACCTGAGCCTTTGGGAACCCCAAACCCGAAACATCTAAACTCTTTTAACTGTAGGGGCCTGAATAACTAGAATAGGGATTTGAGGTCCGTTATACTACCAATATAATAAGGACCCCCCCAAACAGCACAGGTAATTATGAAGGCCCCTATAGCGCGATGATTCTCGTTGCGTGTCCGTCCTCCCAAGTTGAAGATGACCCAGAAGACGGCAATCAAGCGTCCTCCAGTCGGCAGCTTCGGTTAAGGGCTTAAGTTTTTGGAGGCTTATGTGGGGATCTACAGCAGGGATAAGAGGCTGCATAACCTGCTGGAAGCAACTGTTGTCTGAGATTGGAACAGCCCTACTGGCCCTAGAATCGAAAGCAAGATACAAAACCCTCACTACTTCCACTTGAGCAAAAAAGTTATGAAACAAGCCTGAAGCCCCAATGTCAGCCCAAAGGCAACACCAACCCTGGAAAGCAGAGCCAGACTTTCAGGATTATCATGGCAGGTCTAACCCTCAAACAATCCTATACGAAGCCTGCAAGAACCCTATTATGGGTGGTTGTCAAAATCAGGGTCCCTTTTTTGGGGTACCCTAAATACCAGGTGCCGTACTATATTCAGGACCCCAAAGGGACCCTAATTTTGACAACCACCCTATTGGAACCCTAGTCACCTTAAACCCTGAACCCTAACCCCCCCCCCCTAGGGCCCCAAAAAAGCACATAAGCAAAATTAGGATAGGGATATCCCACATAAACCCCTTTGTAATCAAGCCCATTAAGGTAGGGATATCCCTATCAAATGCTTGTGCTTATGTGCTTTTTTCCAGCAGAGTCCTCTCGAGCTGGGCGTCGCATAAGCCATCATCAGAGACCCTCACCGGGGAGCTGTTATACGATACTACCCCAAGGGTCCAAAGGACCCAATAGTTAGGTACTCGGTTTTAGAATAGTAGTCATGCAGGTTAGGATTTTGGAGAGTATATGATTACTAGGTACTTGGACCCTTGGGGCTATGTTATATCTTAGAAGCTGCCCCTACCCTGTAATAGTGACTATAAGGATTATATTAGGGCCCTATTATATTCCTATTATACCATACTACCCAGAGAGCCCGACACCCCTTAATTAAGGAATATGGCTTAAATCATAATATCAAGCCCTATATAAGTTAAGCCACATTCCTTAATTCAGGGGGTATTGGGCTCTTTGGGTATGTTATATCAAATCATGCCATATGGTATTGTATTCTACAGAGACCTCACCGGGAGCCGTTAGGGCTTTAGGGTCTCAGGTTTTAGGTTTCAGGATTTAGGCCTAGGCTTTCTGGTTTGAGAAAAAGAAAAAAGCGTTTTAGGGTTTAGGGCCTTGGTTCAGATTTAAGTTCACACGACACATGGAGCTCTAATGTAACACCCCAACCCACAACTGCCAAAACCCTGGCGGTTTCTGCCGTGGGCCGCCGGGGCCCAACCACAAACCCAGCAGCCAGGATCTTTTGCAGACTTCATCCCTCCCTCCCTAGATCCCTAGACCGTCAAAAGACCAAATTATGGTGCCTTGCAGTTAGACTAGCTCTGAGGCAGATTCTTATAAAGCTATATAGCAAGGAGCCTTGAGGAGTAACGTCGGTCCTGTATACGGCTTCAGGCATGTTTGTTTCTTAACCTATATAAAAAGGAACCTTAGGGAATACTTTTGGTAGTCATTCAGGCTTCTACTCAGTAGCATGCAGTGCAAAAACCGCTGAGAGGCATGAGCCCTGGGCCCCTAATCCCCCAACCTGAAAAAAAACCTAAACACTTTGGGTTTAGGGTTTAGGGTTTAGGGTTTAGGGTTCAGGGGTTTATGGGTTTAGGGGTTTAGGGTTTAGGGTTTCGGGGCTTAGGGTAAACCCTACACCCCGAAACTTAACCCTGAACCCCCGAACCCCTAAGCCCCTATATCCTCAACCCTAATTGAACCCTAAACCCCCAAACCTAAAGAAAACCCGACCCCAAACCGTCAAGAGATGCCCACCTTGCGCCGTCCAGAACAGCCCGGCACCGACGCCTCGTTCTTTTTTTAATTCGTGCTCTGTAGGGTCTGTAAATTAAAGATGCATACGTACCCAGAGAGATTTATCACTGCTTACATGAGGTTTCTACGTAAAGGTGTAAGGGCTGCTATTTCTAGTGATGCACCCTGCATGCAGGAAAGTTCCTGCTGATATCATAGGATTCCCCATGTGATTTCAGCAGCTTTGCATATTTACAGCATATTTTGGGTAACATAGAGATAAAAGATCCGGACATACTGGGGGCTTAATTCGGTTTAAGGGTTTCGCGAAGTTTAGTGGTTCAGGGAGGTTTCAACCCATGGATTAAGGTTTTGGTTCCAGTGGCTGGTGAAGAGGGGCCTTTATTCTCATGTATGGTAGAAGCCCAAAAGTTGGAACCCAATAGCCTCAATCCTTAAGCGCAATGTCTAGGGAGTCCCAGCACTATTTGTCCTTAATCCGGTTTCCAACTTTCCGGTGTTTACCATAGCCTGCTTTGCTGCAAGACAAGAGGCCAAGCACGATGCCGCCCACGACAGCCAGCAGCTTGTACTGTGCCTCACGATGACAGCTGCGAACATTTCAAACAACCAAGATTTCTCTCAGACGGACGGGTTTTTGGGGCATGGCAGCATTAGTGCTGATCCCGAGCACTATAAAGTTGCAGTGTGAAGAACCATGATTTCTGTTTGGGTTTAGGGTCTCCTTTTTTGATAGGCTTTGCTGTTAATACCACTACCACAAGATGCTGAAGGAAAGAGTCATAACTGCATTCTGAGATTCGTGTACCGCTAGTAGGAAGGAATTGAATTAAAAACCGAGAACCTTCGGTTCGGCCCTGTAGATCCTCTCCCGGAACACGACCTGCACCGACCCCCTACGCCCTCAACGTTGGTCTTGCGATTCAGATGCCACATATCGACAATGCACAATCTTACGCTTGCGGTTCCGAACCACGGCACCGTGAAGTAGATGCAGATCGCATAGACCGCATAAGTCAGTCCACCTTTGCTGCAGATCGGAAGTCAACCTAAACCTTTTGAGACCCCCGCTGTGCGGCATGACAAAGATTGGCTCCCCGGGTCCCCAGAAAGCCCAATACCCCGTAATTCGGTGATAGTCCACAAAATGTAGTAGGAACCCTAATATTATCTAAGGTCTATTCTTCAATTAAGGAATATCCCGTAAATGTTTACCGGATCCCTAAAATGATTTCAGGTGTAGACCTGAATGAAAAAGTATTGGGATCTCTGTGGTCTTCTGAGAATCCAGGAGACTAAGAGGTAAATGAATGGGTTTAGGGTTCAGGTTTAGGGTTTGGGGGCATGCGCACCAACCCTACCTACAGTCTCCATTGTAGTTCCTTTTTCTGGTTTAACCAAATTGATATCAGGGATCCTAAAAGGTATCCCCGAAAAGGAACTACAATGGAGACTCCAGGAAAACCCTAATTAAACCGCATATGCCCAACACCAGAATTCAGATTGGTGAGGAGTTGCAAGTTGGGGTCATGTTCCCGTCATACATCCTGGTGTGGCCTACAAAGGGTGCAACCCTCCGCAATCCAACAACCCTAGGGTGTGGTAGAAAAATCCTCAACCCAAATCCCTAAACCCAACAGCCCTACACAACCTAAAACCCGAACCCTTAACACATGAGCCCTACACCCTAAACCCTAAACCGGGGGGCTTGAGTATGAATCCCGAACCTCAAGAGTTCTGTGATTTTGCTTCGCAGGTTTCCATGTGACCCTTTTGAGCCTCAATCCTCAACCCCCAAAAAGCAAGTCCCAAACCTGAATGGGGGACTTAGTAAGCAGGGTTACAAGTACCTTGATTAGGGTTGTAAGTTGTAAGTAGATATAAGTATATAGCTACCTTACTTAACTTAAGCCCCTACTTCCTCCAAGTACTCCCTCCGTCCCGTAAACTCAACATCCGACTGGCGCTTAAGGGAAAATGGGGAAGACAGAACTACTACCAGGGATTATTGAATAAATACAGGGACTGCTCTAGAGATCCACTCTCCGAGCACCTGCTGCCCAGACCCCCGGGAGGATCTAGAGAGCAGATCCCCTAATCTGGAGCCCTCTACCACGAAGGGTGCTTGACAGGAACCCCCATTAAGAAACCCTCAACCCTAAACCCTGAAACAACCCTACACCCTAAACCCTCAAATAACCCTAAACCCTAAACCCCCATTACGGGATCTACTTTTGGATCCTTTCCGGGGGTCTGGGTACCCATAGAGCCCAATACCCCCTAATTAAGGAATACAGCTTAAATCATAACATGAACTCCTTTTTAATTTAAGCCATATTCCTTAATGAAGGGGCCCTGAGCTGCTCTCGGTTTGCTGCTCGGGCCCGGAGGTGGCGAATTACTGCTTTTCTGTAGGTCTATCTTAACCTACCAAACTCTACTTTTTTGTAGGGTCCCCTATAAACTCCATATTAGGGTTCATAACAAGAACCTACAAGAAAGTCGGGTTTGGTAGGCTAAGTTATCTATCCATCTGTCAGGCAAGTCGCCGATCGACAGAAGCCTCGGCCAGATATGGACTGAAACCTACAGGTTACTTGCGGTAGTCTTCGAGAGTTTAGAGTGAGCATTCAAGGTTCTGGGCTGAAATAACGCTTTGGGGCAAAGAGCTTCGGGCTTCAGGCGGTGTTTGGGTTCGGGAATGAGGTTCTGGGCTCTGGCCTCAACTACATACGGTATAGGTGTTGGGCTCAGTGCAGGTTTTCGGGGGTTTAGGACGTTGTGGTCAGTTAGGGTCTTGTATTCGGGGTTGGGTTTGTTGATTTTTGGGATTAGGACAACGGGTTCTGAGTTTCGGGCTCAGGGACGCCGGTTGGTGATCTCTCATGCTGGCACTGCCTTCCCCAAGCCTCGTTATTTCCCAATGCCAGTCCTCAAACACAACCCAAAACTGGGAATCGTGCCAATATATATTTCCTAACCCTAATCCCCTAAACCCTAACCCCTAAACATCTAAACCCCTAAACCCTAAACCCTATAAACCCTAAACCCAGAACCCCGAAACCCTAAACCCCTAAACCCTTAAACCCCTAAAACCCTATAAACCCCAAACCCCTAAACCTTACTAAACCCTAAACCCCAAACCGTGGACAAGAACCCAGAACATGGGAGCCCCTCTCTTCTGAGGTGCCCACTTGGAGGGTGAGGGGACTTAGTAAGTGGTTAGTTTAGGGACTTACAAGTACCATAACCCCAATTGGGGTCCCGTTTAGGGTACTTATAAGTCTACTTACTACCTACTTACTAAGTCCCCCGACCCTCCAAGCAAGAGAAGACAGCAGAAGGGTGCAATGCAGCATTGCAAAAGCTTGTACTTCCCCATATGGGCGGTTGTCAAAATTAGGGTCCCTGTTTGGGTCCTTATTGTAGTACGGCACCTAATATTTAGGGTACCCAAAAAAGGGCCATCATTTTAACAACCACCTATATTCCTTCCTGTGGTTAATATTCAGAATCCTATAAGGTAATCCCAAAAGGAAACTACTATGGGGCCTCTGGGTAGTGGCTGAGTTGGGGATGCCATTAGGTTACTTTAAGGAATACTACAAGGGCTCCTGTAAGGGTACCATTACGAGGGATAGGGTTCCCTTAGGGGCACCTATAACTCTATGCCGGATACTTTTAGGGATAGGAACCTGAGTAAGAAACCTTGGGCCTTTATGAGGGTTCCTTATATTATATGGATCCTACTATACTTGGGGTTATAGGGCCAGGGTTTCTTAATCAGGTTCCTACATTAGCCCAAAAGGAGGTTAACTTTTTGAACTATCGTAGGATTATATAAGGCCCGAAAGGTTAAAGCTTACATACTCAGCCACTAAGTGTACAAGACGTCCTGTCCTCTGCTGGCCCTGCATGCCTGCGTTGAGTCGCTTTTCAACCCAGTACCCAAGGGTCCAAAGGACCAATCAACTAGGTACTTGGCTTTAGGATAGTAGTTATGTAGGTTAGGATTTGGGAGAGTATATGATTATTGGGTACTTGGACCCTTGGGGAATACCTCCATCTTGAGTTCGATCACCTGAGTCGAACTCAATAGACTTATCTTGGCTGAGTTCTGAACCCCTCCTAAAAGTTAAACTTTTCGCCTCCTTAATATATTCATGCTAAAGTCTAAAGAGCCAACCAGAAAAACGCCAAGTTATATCTTAGAGCATACCCTTGCCTTAAGATTTCTGCCCGAGCCCCACACCCATGAAGGCCTCTGAATTCCACAAAACACGTACCTCAATTCGCAACTCCAACAGCTCTTGCAGGGTCGGGGGACTTAGTAACTGGTTAGTTTAGGGACTTACAAGTACCATAACCCCGATTAGGGTCCCTTTTAGGGTACTTATAAGTCTACTTACTACTTACTTACTAAGTCTCCCGACCCTACAAGCTGAAAACCCCCATACCCTTATAGGTTTAGGGTTTAGGGTTTAGGGTCTAGGGTTTTAGGGTTTAGGGTTGAGGGTTTAGGGTCCTAAACCATAATAAACCCGAAGCCTGGGACCTTCCACCCAAATCCCTGAATAGGAGCTCGAAGCCGTAATCCCTAAACCTAAGGGGATTACGGGTTTAGGAGTTTAGGGGTTTTCGGGATTAAGGTGCAGGCTTTAGAGCTCAGGATTTCCGGGGTTCAGGGTTTACCCAAAGGCTCCATGTACCCATGTAGTAGGTACTTAGGCCTTAAAGTAACCACATAGGGACCCCTTTTAGGCCTAAGTACCTACTATATGGGTACATGGAGCCTTAGGGTTAGGTGTTTAGGATTTCTTGCAAGGGACGTAAACCCCTTCAGCTCGAAACAAGACCAAGAAACGGTCGGGGCCCGAAAAGGTTGAAGAAGGCCGACCCGAAGTAGCCAAACACGGCAAAGGTGCCTGTGAGATTTTCTAATCCAGTTGGAGGGTTTCGGGTGCTAGTGTTTAGGGCGTTTCATATGGGTTTAGGGCTTGGGGCTGGGAGCTTATTGGGCTGGTGGTCGTTGGCCTAGTTGTTGGGTATGTCGGCTGAGACTCTCTGCATGCAGCTCTTTTAAAGCTACCTACAAGACCCTATCAATCCACCTCGAAACAATTCTACCTTCAACCCCTCTACCTACACCTCCAGATACAAAACCTTGAGCGGAGCCCTCATGACGCTTCAAAGATTCAAACCCTAAACCTAAAACCGCGAAGCCCTAAACCACCCTAACCCACTAAAAACCGAGGCTTTTACTGGACCGCCCTGGAACCTTAGAACCTTGAGAAGAGCCCTGATAACACCTCGACCCTAAACCCTACACCTTTCTTCCATATGTATATTTACATGTTAATCGCCTCAGCGGTTTTGTTTGCGAATGTGACCCTGGCAACCAAGATCACAACCAAGACCGCAAATGTTGCAGACCTTTCCGGCCTGAGGTCCGCAATACTAGTGGTTTTTGGTTGCGATTTCGGTTGCTCATAGAAGTTTAGGGTTTAGGCGTACGCACCAGCCTAGGCCGGGAGAATACGAAGGGATTAGGGATTATGGCCTAGAGCTTATGGAAAACAATGTTAAGCTTCACTTCATTGCCACGGGGCCTGAAAGCATACGCTTTACCATTTAGTAGGGACACAGACTGGAGTTTGGGACCTAATGCGTTTGGTGTGCAAGCGGTTTTTGTCATCGCGATGCGATGTTAAAGGCTAAAACCTGTAAGAACCCATATAACATGCAACGCTGAAAGAGAAGCAAACAGTGCATGCCACATGTGCACATCAACGCAAAGTAGCCCAAACTGAAGTTTACACCACCACATGGAAGCCAGGGATCACAAGCTGCTTCTCACTTTGCCTAAGGAACGTCTGCTACACATCGCGCAGCTGATCCTGTACCGCACTGCTGTCGCCACCACCAGCGGCACTGCCCCAGGAAACCACAGATCCATCACCCAGGATTGCAGCAAATGCACCAACAGAAGCTTGGATCTGCTGCACATCTCGCAGCTGATCCTGTACCGTACTGCTGTCTCCACCTTTTGTGGCATTACCCCAGGTGACCACTGATCCATCACCCAGGATTGCAGCACATGCCCCTTGGGAAGCTTGGATCTGCTTAACATCTCGCAGCTGATGCTGTACGGTGCTGCTGTCGCCACCACCGCCGGCACTGCCCCAAGTGACCACAGATCCATCACCCAGGATTGCAGCAAATGCATACCAGGAAGTTTGGATCTGCTGCACATCTCGCAGCTGAGCCTGTAACGTACTGCTGTCTACACCAAATGAAGCATGACCCCAGGTGACCACTGATCCATCACCCAGGATTGCAGCAAATGCAGCAAAAGAAGCTTGGATCTGCTGAACGTCTCGCAGCTGATGCTGTACGGTGCTGCTGTCGCCACCATGGCCGGCACTGCCCCAAGTGACCACAGATCCATCACCCAGGATTGCAGCAAATGCACCCAAAGAAGCTTGGATCTGCTGCACATCTCGCAGCTGATGCTGTACGGTGCTGCTGTCGCCACCCTCGCCGGCACTGCCCCAAGAAACCACAGATCCATCACCCGGGATTGCAGCAAATGCACCAAAAGATTCTTGGATCTGCTGCACATCTCGCAGCTGATCCTGTACCGTACTGCTGTCTCCACCTTTTGTGGCATTACCCCAGGTGACCACTGATCCATCACCCAGGATTGCAGCAAATGCATACCGAGAAGCTTGGATCTGCTGAACATCTCGCAGCTGATGCTGTACGGTGCTGCTGTCGCCACCATCGTGGGCACTGCCCCAAGAAACCACAGATCCATCACCCAGGATGGCAGCAAATGCACCCAAAGAAGCTTGGATCTGCTGCACATCTCGCAGCTGATCCTGTACCGTACTGCTGTCTCCACCTTTTGTGGCATCACCCCAAGTGACCACAGATCCGTCACCCAAGATTGCCGCAAATGCGTGTTCAGAGGCTTGGATCTGCTGCACATCTCGCAGCCGATCCTGCACCGCACTACTTTCGCCACCAGTGATGGCACTACCCCAGGTGACTACAGATCTATCGCCCAGGAGCACGGCGAACGAATTGCGGAAGATGCTGCCTGGCCACATGGTGGCTTTAAGGTGGACTTGGTTCACATGCACGGTGAGCACGTCTCCACTCCTCAACTTCGCTTCTGTGACAGTTTGTGCTCCGTCAAGCACCTCTCCAGAACAATTCAGCAGCCGCAGCACACTGCTCGGGACCGCCAAGGCACTCCGGGCGCGGCACTTCAATGACCAGACGTATGCATCCGCCTCCACTTCCAGACAGGCATGCTTGCCGCTCAGTAGATGCACATCCACAGAGATCGACATTGCGCTTCTGCAGATGTTGTAGCAAACAGAGCAACACCCTGAGTCTACTTTCATCCGACAGCTACCCGGAATACCTGCTGAGAATTACTGCCCATAGGGTGGTCGCTTGACGCATAACCTAAAAGACCCTCCATCGAATCCTTACACAGGCAAAACGATGTTGCCGAACAATTTCAAGCCGCAGGTGCCTTAAACCTTGAACTCGAAATCCTGAACTCTAAACCCTGAACCCTAGCTATAGTCTCCATTGTAGTTCCTTTTGCTGGTTTAACTAAACTTATTTTAGGGATCCTAAAAGGTTACCCCGAAAAGGAACTACAATGGAGACTACAGGTACACCCTGAACCGTAAACCCGAATTACTGGGTCCTTCGGGCCCTTGAGGACAAGCGGCAGTAGAGGCAGCTGTTGGCCAGCGCCGCCACTGACGGATCCGAAGATCCAGCCTGGTACTCTGGGCAAGCCTTCTGGGACCCTTATAGAATGATGGTACCCTTATTATAGATCCCTTGGAATAACCCTTACAGACCCCTTTCAAGGAACCCTAGCAAACTTGAAGCATCCCACAGACTCCAATACCCCTTAATTCAGGAATATTCCTTAAATCATATTAGGGATCCTACTATAATTTAAGGAATATTCCTTAGTTAAGGGATATTGGAGTCTCTGGGTTCTGGGACCCTTATTAAAGCTTTAGGGTCTGGGGGGGTTTAGGGGTTTCGGGTTTGGGGCCTAGGGTTTGGGTTCAGAAGCCCCGGATGGAGCAGTTTCTAGTCAAGCTAGCGGTTTTCGATTTAGAAAAAGCGCACCCGCCCAAAGAATCCCATAACATTAAGAAAATACAACTCATCTTCCTTCAGCATCGAAACCCTAACTCAAACTCCACAATCTTATAAGTTATAAGATTCTCCGCAAGCCCCAAAACCCTAACTCCACAACCTTATAAGCACCGAAACCCTAAGCCCTATGCCTTGTTGGCACTCGGCACGCAGGGCCGAAAAAATAAGTTAAGGCCGAAAGAAGCCCTAAGGACGAAATCCTAAAGTTAGGGCCGAAACCCTGTAACCGAAACTCGAAGCCCGAAACCCTAAGCCCGAAATCCTGAGGCCGAAACCCTGAGGCCGAAACTCTGAGGCTAAAATTTTAAGGCCGAAACCCTAAGACAACCAACATCGCAACCAAAACCGCTAGCATTGCAAACCTCAGGCCTAAGGTCTGCAAAATTAGCGGTTCTTGTTGCGCAGGACGGTTGTGCAACCAAAATCACAACCAAAACCAGCAATATTGCAGACCTCCGGCCGGAAAGGTCTGCAGAATTTGTGGTTTTGGTTGAGATTTTGGTTGCCCAGGGTCAAATTCGCAACCAAGACCGCTAAGGCCATTGATATTCAAATATACATACGAAAGAGAGGTTTAAGGATTCAGGGTTTAGGGGTGTGTCGATGATCCGCTCACAGCACCACCACGTGAGACGTGTGTTGTGGTGTGCGCTGAGGTTCACGTAAGCGCTGGGTTTAGAATTAAGGCTTTATGGCTGAAGGACTGAAGGGTATGACGAGAATTCTCTAAAACCAAAACCCTAAACCCTCAATGCCGACAAAAGGTGCTACAGGATGTTACAGGCGATCCGCTGGAAGACCACGAAACAAAAGGGGGCTTCGGGGCGTTGCCGAAACCCTAAACCCTAAACCCTAAAATCCTAAAACCCTAAACTTACGGAATCTGGGATTCAGCATTTCGAAAGTGGTCCTCCGCAGGCTTAGTGTTCAGGATTCCCAAAGGGCCCAAAGTACCTAAATAGTAGAATGTAGGGTTTCTATCTTAGGAATTGCTATGATGATTTTATTATGATTTGGGGACGCATCCCCCATAACAATACGTAGGAACCGTAGGGATTTGCTAGCAAGTTATCGAGCCCAAAACCTGAAACCAAACAATTACCGCCCACGGCCACTACCCATCAGTTAAGCTGTATACCGTAAACGACATAGAAGATGCTTTTTAAGAACGTATGAAATCCTACTTTAACTTCCGGTTAGTTAAGGGCCGCCCAGCTGTAGGAAAACCACCACCAAGCCCCACAAATGCCTTGAGACTCCAAAACCTCTTGCTGAACGAATACACCTTAAATCATATCGGGGTCCCCAATATGCATGAAGGTATAAGACCCCTAAATATAACTGAAGGGGAGTCTTTTGGATCAAACCCTTAAACCTAAAATTCGGAACCCTTATAACATCGTATAAAAAAACATACAAGCCCTAAAAGCTTGGAACCCTCCTAAAAGTTAAACTTTTAGCCTCCTTGTTGTAGTTCATATAGAAACCCATAAAGCTAAATTCTAAAGAGCCAACCAGAAGAACGCCAAGAAACCCTAAACATCCGAACCACACTTACCTATAGTCTCCATTGTAGTTCCTTTTTCTGGCTTAACCAAGTTCATAGTAGGGATCCTCAAATGTAACCCCAAAAAGGAACTACAATGGAGACTACAGGTAAAATCCCGAACACCGCAAACTCCCCAAACCCCACCCTCACGACCGTCGGGCTCCGGGCATTGCCCAGACCATTCAGCGCGTTGAATAGGCCGGGCCCGGCGAAGGCCAAGACGCCCAGGACCTTTCTCTAAGTCTACAAATGTAAAGTAAAGGGCCTTCCTGGGTTTGTTTTCAAGTGTTCTGAAGGGTTCTTTAGGGAGTTCCAAAAGTTTTACTGAGCTTGTTGTAAGTCTTCTTCAATCGGGTGGTACAAGGAAGGTCTTTCGGGTGTAAGTTGGTCTTCATCGGCTTGAGTTCCTTCTTTGAGTTTGAATCTTTTGTCTGGGCTTTACAAGCGCATGGGGGTCAGGGTTCAGGTTTAAGGCCTACTCAAACCCTAAACCCCAAACCCTAGAACCCTACGCCCTAATACTCTGAACCATCGAACTCCCGAAAACACTACCAAGAAACATTTATGGAATCCAAGTAACCCGCAAAGTCATAACCATAGCCTTCGCACCCTGGAGTGAGTCCAAAGTCCTAAGCCGAAAAGCCTGGTACAGACCACGGTATACAAGCGGCAAAGAGCCAGGATGATATGCTAATAAACCCAAAACCAATACTTCCGGATGCACAGGGCCCTGAAACCTCTAAGCCCTAGAACTTACTAACACCGACAAATCCATGAAGATCCTTTATACAACCCATGCAGTCCCCCAACACGTTAAACCCTATAAACAATAATTTCCACGCCCTTTAGTGTGGAAGGTTCAGGGTTTAGGAATTTAACATTCGGAGTTATAACATCCAAAGTTCTGCGGTCTGCCTCAGGGACAGAGTCACATGTGCCTAACTATGCCCATCTTACTGATAAGGCTGCGTACAACCAACTTACTATGTTCCCTGGTAACCCTTTTTACGTAGAATTTCGGGTTTCGCTTTGCCAAGATTTGGCCAATAGGGCCTCCGACCTGTGGTCTTTAGGCTCAACACGCGCGCTACATGGCTTGAAGTTCCAGGTGTCGGGTTCCAGAGCGCTGGAATATTGTTTTTCTCAACAGGAAAGCACAAACATACATCCACCAACTCTTCCAGGTGGGCTCTATTCATCTCACCAGCGCCCTAAGAAAGACCCTGCCACACAATGTAAGTCCCACCCGTCACCCTGAACGCTAAATCCCTCAACTCTCTACCAAAACCTCTCTTCTTCAACAACCAGGCTGCAAAAAGTTCAAACTTTCTAAAACAGAGCTAATAATATATGAGGCCAAAAAGTTTAAAGTTCCCCTGTTCACTATCTAAGAAACTGTAAAACCATCCCAAAACCCGCAATTTAAAACCCCTAAAAACACCACGTGCCGAGGCTGGCACCGCAATTTGCCCCGGGGCGGACGGCCTGGATTTTAAGGTAGGGTATAATACTAATACTATAGTACTGATACTAATACTAAGGGCTCCTTTTAAGGGATCCTTTTAAGGGCTCCTTTGAGGGTTCTGGCAAGGCTTGCTGTAAGGGTCCCAGGTCTGTAGAGTTGGAGTCTAGGACGTGTGCTTGCAGGATCATGGGCCTTAGTACGTAGGGTTACAAGTAAGGTAACTATAGACATATCTACTTATAACCCTAGTTCGGGTACTTATGACCCTACCTACTAAGTCCCATGATCCTCTAAGTGTGGCACAGAGCTTGCAAGGTGTGGAGGGCTCTGTCCGTGTCCTCGGGAGCTTCCAAGCAAAAAAACTGGCCTGGCTGAGAATACTCTAAGCGTCCAAGTACTTAGAAAGGTTGCATCCGGATGGGCGAGCTCGGGGGCTCACACGCAGCACTATCGGCCCGAAGATATTACATAGGACCCCTCAACGATAAGAGTTCCCTTCTTCTTTTGGTTTTGACCAGCAATCGCGAGAATACAAAGGGCACAGGGCTACTTTGTGAATCCTAGAGGCTAATCATCTGAAGGAGTGCAGAGATTCCAAACCCGTGAAGCAGTAATATTCATTAACTCATATTCCGAACCCCTGTATATGGGAGTTTCCGAAAATAGGGGAAGCTAATATAGTACCCTAAATAGTAGGATCCTTATTATAAGGACCCCAAAATAAGGTACCCCGTATTTTCGGAAACTCCCATACAAGTTTTTGCTTCACAAAGGGGTTTTACAGTCTCTTGGAAGATCTGGGCCAAACTATGCACATCCGGGCTGGGGAGTGCGCCTGCTTCTGTCTGGCTCATGTTCGGCCATGGATGCCTCAGTGGTCTGTAGAACAAACAAAAATCCTTGGACGCCGCATAGGATTAGATCTTGGAGTATTCATGAGGAGCAGTATTGGTAATTACTCCGGCTTCTACATTAACAAGCTTGCGATCCCTTAGGGGACTTCTGCAAAGAATATGGTATCAGTCGCAGACTCCTGTGCAACTCTGACGAGCCTCTTGCGTTTAGCCTCTGCGTAATGCTTCCCCTCTGAATTCGAATACAGAAATCGCCATAGGCACAGGACACCAATCAGAGATCTCTGTAACTTGGAACAGACTTCTCATGTCAGAGTGTGACGTCCGGGTTAGGCATAGGCTTAAGGGTAGATGTATTCAAACATCGCGGAAAGACGTGTGGCGTCGACTCCAAACCGACTCCCAAACCGCAATCTTCGGGATTTTCAGGTGCCTGGATTTACCCGCAGTCTCCATTGCAGCTCCTTTTCGGGGTTACCTTTGAGGATCCCCAACATAAATTTGGTTAAACCAGAAAAAGGAACTACAATGGAGACTATACCTAGGGATCGGTGGTCTTGCAGTTTACGCTTCCCTTTAGCAGTCTCTCTGTAGAAGTTGTTGAAAAAACCTCACTGCTACTGCTGGACTCTTGAACTAAAGAATTTTCCCGGAAGACGCCTAGTTAATATAATCAGAATAGGGTTCCCCTCTTGAAAGGGGTCCATAAGGGGTACTATAAAGGCTACTACAAGGGTTGAGTGTAGGGGCCTTAACAGTTAGACTATGGCCTAGGGTTTTGGGGGGCCCATTATACGGCACTTATAATAAGGAACCCACAAAACAGTATTGGCAATTATGTAGGCCCCTATATTAAGAATACTAATGATCGCTTTGCCTTTCTCCGGCCCCTCCTCACTTGTCAACTGCGTCAGGCAATGCACGTCATTAGAGGATCATGGGACTTACGAAGTAATTAGGGTTGTGACCTTACTTATAACCCTACTTACGAAGTCCCCTGATCCTCCAAGTAGATTGGTACTGCATCTTCAACGTTTCGGGGTTCCGGACTCTCTGCGTGAGTGCGGACGAACGATGTCGGAACAGCCCTAAACACGAAACCATAACCCCACACCCGAAACCCCACACAAAAGCCCTAACCCTAACCATCACACCACATTTGTGGCTAGGGGGGTGGAGGTGCCGGTATCCTCGACCTCAGACCAAAGTTTGGGAGTTCAGGCTTTCAGGGGCAGGATTGAGGGTCTCACTCCCCGATATATAGAGTTTGATGCATTACCCAGGCTTCGAATTACAATGGGATCTCGATGAGACAAGGATATCAGGCGAAGAGCAAGCTCAATCGCCATCCATGGTGCCCACCGCACAGGGAGAAACAGAAGAGTCGGGCTATGTATTTTTGTGTCTTGCTTTGCTTAGAGGATCAGGGGAGTTAGTAACTAGGGTTATAAGCAAGGTAACTATGGTTATACCTACTTATAACCCTCCTAAACCCTAAACCCGAAGGCCTGAACCCTGAACCTGTGTGGATTCTACGGTCTTCGAGTGAAGAGTCGAAGCGATCAAGCTAGAATTGGCTGCCGGCTTAAGGCTGCAAGGTTTGGGGGTGGAAGGTTGCAGAGTCTGGGCTTCAGGGCTTAAGGGTTTGGGCTGTAGAAGTTCAGGGTTTAGATAGGGTTTTAAGTGACTTTGAAGTTCACCGGGAGCTCGAACAAAATAGTGGGCAATGCCGAATGCGCACATAGCCCTCAAAGCCTTACAACCAAAGCAAACTTTCACGTCTACAGACTTCATGGGTCGGACTGGCTCGACGAAGCGCTCGAGCCCAAGGCTTGCCAGGTGAGGCCAAACGTGTTCGTTGACGATGTTGCTGCTGAGGTTCCTTATACACCACTGCAACTGCTACTGCTATCGACACCGATTCAGCGAGTGTAGTCAGAATACAAGAATCATAAAAAGAGAAGTAGCAACACTGCCATGTTTCCACGTCTAATGCTGATGATACTCCTGCTACAGCTACAGCTACAGCTACAGCTGCTACAGCTGCTGCTGCTGCTGCTGCTGCTGCTGCTGCTGCTGCTGCTGCTGCTGCTGCTGCTGCTGCTGCTAGTCCTTCCTCTTCTTCTCCGTACTACTTCTTCTTCTATTCAATTCGCCCTTGCGGTAGTGGAGCCTGGGACCGGTGTTGTGGGCCATTTTGGATCTTAGACTTTGGACTCACTGTAAAACTTCTGAGAACAAATGAAGCACGATGCAACAGGGCACCGAAGAGAGTTTGCCAATGACAGTAACAGCAACAGTGACGGGTTTCTGAAATGTTCAAAAGCAATGTTCTGGGGGGTCTCACACGTGCCGACCTTGAGTCATGATGTTCGAAATCCTTCTACTTACAGGATCTGGGACCTTAGTGAGAAAGGTAACAGTAATTATGTCGACTTCTATCCCGAATCCGGGTGCTCACAACACTACTTGATGAGTCCCATGATCGTCCCCAAACCCAACGCCCTACAGAGCCCTACTTACTAAGTCCCCTGATCCTCTAAGTCCTCTAAGTAAACTTGAAACCCATGGCTGTCGTAAACTCGCCACCGGCCGCCCTTTCGATGTGCATCTCCTGCAGAAGGCCCTGGCAAGCTCGATTCCACGGGCTGGTTTACGAATTTGGGTTTAGGTCGCGCTTTACATACACTGTGGACAAGTGAACCCACACCTCACACTCTTCACCCCCCCCTCCTCCCACCAAAAACAAACACTCAGAAACCGCTAAACCCACTTGAAGAGGCTCAAAGCCCCGGCACTAAATCCAAACACAGGCCAACTTCACACTGTCAAGTCTGACCTTGCGGAGAGCATGTCGGCTCAAAGTGAGGGTTGAGGATGAAGGTTTGGCCCGAAAGTTGAACCTAAGCTCTACTAAACGAGAAACTTGGCCCCAAAGGTCAAACCGAAAGCACTGACCCCTAAAGCCTAGGCTTGGCCCAAGAGTTGAAACACTGGTTGGGGGAAGTTGGGATCTAGGTCGTGGTGATAGCCGCCTCGGCTCGAACCCCAGACCTTGTTTAGGCTTTAGGGTGGTTTAGGGTGGAGGTTTAGAGTTTCCAGAGTTTAGGGTGTCAGGATTCTTACAAAGTTGTAGTGCGCCAGGTGTAAGGTTTAAGTTTAGGGATTAATTGGGGTTTAAGTGTTCAGGGTTTCAGTTTTAAGGATTGAAGGGTTCAGGGCTTAGAGATTGAGGGCTCTTTTTTTAAGTTAAGGGTTCGGGTTTACGGATTCAGGGGGTAGGCTTTGGGGATCTCAGTTTTGGGTTTAGGGCGTAGGGTGCTTGTGCCCTGCACCCTGATTCCTTCCCCACGAGGTGCTGCCGGCTCAGCCAAACCCCCAAACCCTAAACCTTTAGCCGTAATCTCCTTCGCACTAAAGCCCAAAGCTCATCCCTAAACCCCACCTGAAATCCCAAAAGTATGTAAAAACTGGGCCAACACCTATAAAACGCTTATCCTACATAGGTTTGGGGCCCAGGCAAACCCTAAACCGTAAACCCCAAACCTTAAAACCCAAACCCTAAACCCCCAAACCCTAAACCCAACCCCAAACCCCATGCATACCCTAAAGCCCAAAGCTAAAAGCCCCTGCGAGCCTCCACCCCGGCTGGATCGCCGGCACGGCTGTGCGCATTCAGCGCGGAGTTGAAACAAACGACGTTCGGCTGCAGCGTCCTGGGGTTTAGGGTGTAGGGTTTGGGGCTTAGGGCTTAAGGTTGCGGTTGATAAATCCTGCATTACCCACAACAATAAGGAACATACCATAATTTCCTTAGTCTAGGGTCATTCTAGGGTAATGCAGGACTTGTAAAATCGACCGTAGGGTTTAGGGTCCAGGGTTGTGCGGATAAGATCCGACAAAGTTTCCTTCGGGCTTTTAGTGTTCAGGGTGTCTCAGTGTCAGTAAAGAGGGCCAAACCTGAAATCCTAAACCTCAAAGCCTCAATGTTGCACTGAAAACACTAAGCCCTCATTGCCAAAAAACCTTCGCAGAAACACCCTCCGTCCTCTCCCGCATCTCACTCAGAGTTGCTCGCGCCGCTGTCGCGTTGGCCCCCTGACGTTTGGGAGGCCGTGCCGCCCTCTAGTCGACTCTAGACTCCATTCGCTCTTTAGGTTGAACCCACCTCATACAGTCAGTACATATATACATATATATATATATATATGGTCAGGCGTCTGGCGTTCCCAGCCCCCCCCCCCCCCCCAATGGTATTGTCTGATAGGGGTGGGGGGGGGGGCCTGGCGTGTGCGGAAAGGGGTTGGGGGCCGTTGAAGCTGCCACTAAATGGTGGGGTGGTGCTGGCGGCCAGGGCTCACGCGCAAGCCCTTCGCAAGCAAGCCGTAAACCCTATAACGCAGCGCGTGCCCCTGTTTTGAGCAACCTTAACCGTACTTAAAATGGGGGGGGGGGGGCTGCGGAGCGCGTGACCATATATATATATATATATATATATATATATATATATATATATATATATATGTATGTATGTATGTGTGTGTATATGTATATGTATATATATATATATATATAAATATACAATCCATCCAAAAGGAGGAACTCCACTGGAGACAGCAGGTCATCTGGTAGCTCGGTCCGTCTAATCTGAAGTCCAGTACCCATACAGGAATTTCCGAAAATAGGGGACCCTAATATAGCACCCTGAACAATAGGATCATTATTAAGAGGACCCCCAGATAGGGCAGCTCTATGTTCGGAAACTCCCATATGTGCTCATGCCACAGAGTCCTTCGGACTTAGAGATTAGTGGGACCCTTGGGCCTTGGGAGTATTATAGGGTCCATTTTAGGGTCCCCTTTAAGAGGTTCCCTTAAATATCCCTAGGAGTCCTGCATTCACGATCCGAGAATGACGAGGGAAGGACGAGCGCAAATACATGCCTGGGGGCTTGGCACTGGCCTTCACAAAAAAAAAACACAATGGAGGGGCAGCTTTAGCAGGGGGGCTCTCAGCCATGCCAACACTGGATTTCGGCAAGGAACTTAGATAAATTAAGCGCCCATATTGAATTAAGCGCTTGATGTACCGTGCTATATATCCCTACAAGGGTTTCTTAAATTACGTTCTGTATAACAGAACCCCGAACTCAGAACCGTTCCCCGAGGCAACAACCTTCTGCCCCCAAAAAAACCTAAAGCCTCAACCGAAGTTAAGGCTACCGAAATGGGAATACATCCTAAACGAAAGTATGTGTGTGTGTCCTGAGAACTTGAGCTAAGTTCGTCAACAAGCGCTTAGGTCCGGTAAGCTTCTCCGGGCTTCGAGCACTTCTGGATTTTGGCAGGCGTTTTGGAGTGGGTCTTCAATGCCCTACGGTTGGCTCCTAGATGGACTGAAGGTCCACATTAAACATCCTTTCGGACAGGAGCTTCATTGCTGTAGTTCCCCTTAGGATCCCGAGTAGAGTATCGGCAATGTAACATGAACAAGGGAAGTTAAGTCGAGAACCTGTACAAGGAGCACTATGGAGTCCTACCTACCTGACACAACCCGAAGACCATTCAACATCCTACTTGGTGGTGGGTCGTGGGAGGTAGCAAGTCAGGTTATAAGTACCACAACTGGGGTTATAAGAAGGTATCTAGGGTGCCCAGTAACTTAGGAATAAAAAGGGCTACCTTTTTGGTATTGGGTAGCTTAATAAGGATCCTAGGACTACAAAAAGGGAATAAGGGTACTACTGGGCATCCTGGATTTTTACCCTACTTACTAAGTCCCTGATCCTCGAAGCAGGGCTTGAAAGCTGCTCCAGCAGCTAAATCCAGAACTCGAAGGGCCTATAAGTTAAACTCAAAACCCTAAGCCGCCGGAGGTCTACGAATCCCGGGCCTGGGCATAGCAATTGAGAATGCTGCTGTAGCTGAAGACATCCGGGCTGCGCAAGTGGGGGGCTGAAACTCCGGTGTAGGTTTTACAAGTCTTTCGGCTTTAGGGTTTAGGGTTTAGGGCTTAGTGTAAGGTTTGCGATGTTTGTTTTGGCTTTGGGGTCTAGGGTTTGGGGCTTAGTGTAGTGGTTTACGATGTTTGTAAGGCTTTGGGGTTTGGGGTTTCGGGCGCAGGTTTTAGCGTCTAGGGCGCAAGTTGCAAAAAAAAAAGGTTTGCTGGATCTAATTATACTCTAAGCCCGAAGACACGAAGAACAAGAGGAGCAACAAGAGCCGACTGACCACTAAGTTGGAAACTGCGGAGACTTGAAAACTCCTTTCCCTTGATGTGGATCCCCTTTTACCTGTCCCTTACACCTGGAACCCTAAACCCTGCAAGCCCTGCAAGCCCTAACCCTATGATCTACACACCTCAGGCCCGAATGAAGGATCAACCTCTGCAAACGAGAAGAACTCTTTTGTAGGAACATGCTTAGGAATGGGGCCTCAATAATAGCAAAGAAAATTAGAATAGGTTTCGGTTGTATATTACAGTATGACCATGAGAAACAAACAAACAGACAAACCAACCAACCAACAAGGAGGTAATGACGGAAATTGCTCAAGTCCACATTATAATTGATTCATAAATCCATGGTTCGTTCCTATTGCGTCTCTCACTGCGCATTCTGAAACCATGCATAGGAGGAAGGCTTCCTCGCGTGTGTTTGGAGTACCGGGGCGGCTGGGGCGGCACCGCAGATCTCACAACTTCAGGGTGTAGGGTTTAGGAATTATGTGGTCCTTTGAGGCCTTGCTTGCACCGAGCGCATTGCGACATTCAAGGGCCTCAAGCGAGCGGCTTCCAACTGAGGAAGCACCTGCAGCGCCTCCGCCACATCACCTGTCAAGCACCAGGCACTTCCCAACAGAGGGAGAGGGGCAGCTAATTTCCTTGGGACTTCGGGATATGTTACAGTAGAACTTCTTTGGGACCATAGTGAGCCTAAGGAAATGTTACGGCTCATTATTCAGACCTCTATGGTAGAGACTTTACAGCTTGGTGTCTGGAAGAATCGCTGTTTCCTCGAACTTAGGTCGAGAACCTAAACCCTAAAGCTTATTTTGCATTTTTTGGGTTCACAGCTTCAACGCCTCTATACTAGTATTACTAGTTACAGGCAAGTAAGTTAAACAAACTTGTCGCAAATGCTTGCGGATCCTATGACCTACCCCTAGAGCTTATTGTATGGCTAGTAACCTACTACTTACATAACTGGAGCCCTAAACCTAAAGCCTTAATCAACTTAACCCTAAGCCCACCCTAAACTCTAAACCCCAAGCCCGAAACCCGAACCCTAAACCCACCCCATTACCTGTGTTAGTGTCATCCTGGCTCCTGGAGCCTACGTACTATATGATACAAATGATGTAATGTTACTAACTTACCCGAAACCCTAAAGCCGCCCCACCTCCTCGAGCACAGGCGTTGAGGATGGTGTTGAAGGAGACCAGGTCGGGCAGAAGATCCCTGAAGAGCAGCGCAGGGCTGGGAACGGGGGTCCTTTCAGGGTTTAGGGCCTAACGTTTAGGACGTTTACCGGGTTCTTAAGGTCGAAGAACCTTAAAGGGTTTCAGGGAATTTAGGATCTAGGGCTTATAGGGGTGCGGGTTCCGGTTCCGGTCATGGTTGCAGGCTTGTGTATCTATGAAATGAGGTCCTCTTCTGGCTGTTGACCCCTTCATCAATACCCAGCAGAATGATAGGTACCCGAATAATCAGGGTTCGGCTGCTGAAAGACTTATGGCTCAACCTATATCTGACTTACTAACTTTCCTGATATCCAAGTACGCGCTCCGGTTAGTGATGCGATGGTTTGGCTGGCGACAGCACATCACCGGGACTGAGCGTAGCACAGGCATCCCTCACTCAAAAGGTAGGTGAGTACGTAGCATTCGGATGGGAAGGTAAGCCTGTGAAAAGGGACCCTTCGCGCGAAGTTGCGTGCCAACAAAACCGAAAATTTTGCAAAACCGAGATCATTACATGACATAGACCCCGTCCTATGCCTAAAACATCTATCTTCAATCCCAGTCCCTAAACCCCACCTTGAGACTCCCGCGCCGTGAAGCCGGAACCTTTACCCCTAAAGCCAGTTGGACTGCCTTCGGACTTTTAGGGTTTAGGGCCTCTGCTGCATCTCTCGCCGCAGCTCCTGCGCCCGCCTGACTAGGTCGATCTTACTGTTTGGAGTTTACGGTAGGGTTTAGGGCTTCGTCGAATATAGAGTTTCAACAGGGGCTTCTGCACATTGTCCCAACTGGTTTCTGTGAGGTAGGATGTAGGATACGGTTTTCTATAGTTCCTGTATTGCTAAGCGATCTTGAAGTTTGCAGTACGTTCAATCGTTTACTTGCGTAAACCTGGAGCCCATCCCCATCCTTAAGCCAGCAACCCCAATGCCCAAGACCCCCCTGAAAAGCCCAAAAGCCATCGCCCGCCCTCTTCCACCTAGAGGATCAGGGGACTTAGCAAGTAGGGTTGTAAGTAAGGCAACTATATAGTTGTACCTATTTCTAACCCTAACTAGGCTACTTATAACCCGACTTAGTAAGTCCCATGAACCTCTAAGCGCTCTCCTCTCGGCAACCCCCGGAGCCTTGCATCAGATGCCTGGCTGAGAAAGGAGGCCAGGCCAGGGTTCAGGGTTTGGGGTTTAGTTGTTTATTTAATTTCAAAAACTTTAGAAAATTTTAAAAGAATTCAGATCCCCAAAGGCCAAACTTTTAATTTTTGTTAACTTTAGGGGTTAGGGTTTACTGTAGTGCCTTTTGCACCTGCATTATCAATGTCGGCGCAAACCCCACGTTGGGGCGAGGTCTTTGCAACACCATACCACTGTGGGTCACGGTTTAAGGTCTTCTTAATAGGCCATTTTCCATCTGCCGAAGCGTCCGAAACCCCGCAATCCCGAGCTTCAGAGGGTTTGGGTTTTGGGATGGATTGAAGGATTTCCGCCTTCTTTGGAAGCTTTGGGTCTCTGTCTTTTCTCTCCAGTAAGGATCCTAATATTCGGCATATGTCCTTTCTGAAACTGCAGGGGTTTGCTTTCTGCATTTTTGCTCTGGAAGCACATTCTTAAAATTAGCCGTGATGACACATGTCTTCCCTGGTCCATTACTGTCCGTGTTTACACTCAAGAGCAGTGCTCCATAAGGGCAATGCTAGTCGCATTAACAGCAGTAGCCACCGGTTCGGTGAACTGCTACAGGGCACTTGCAGACAAGTCCCCAACCTCGATTCTGAAGTGCCCTATAGACCCTAAGCCCTACTTACTCCCGACACCGAAGAGGACATGTGGAGCTTTGAACTCCAACAAGTGAATCCCAAAGTTGGGCCCCAAAGTGCAATCTGACTATAAGGGGTACTATAAGGGTTACTATCATAAGGGAGTTTCCGAAAATAGGGGACCCCAAGATAGTACCCAACATAGTAAGATCCTTAACTTATTCTAAGGACCCCAAAATAAGGTACCCCTAATTTCCGGAAACTCCCACAAGGGTAATTACAACTGCACTATAAGAACCCTCCATGGCAACCGACCCAAGGAGGAAGGGCCTTCGCGCATGCGCACATGGCAGAGTTGTAGCTGATGAGGTCCGGCGAGCATTGCCTCATTCGATTTGTGGGGTTTAGGATTTTGAGGGTTAGGGGTGTATGGTTCAGGATTTAAAGGTTTAGGGTTTGGGGTGTAGCGTTCAGAAGAACTCTGTAGCAGAACTCGTGGTCGTCGCTATCGTTGCCTCAGACTAGTAGTACTCACGCCTGCTATGCTACTCCTACTGCCGCTGCTGCTGCCGCTGCTGCTGCTGCTGCTGCTGCTGCTGCTGCTGCGAGAATCATCACCACGGCGACGGCAGCTATGCGTTACCATCACCGAGGCCAAGCTCGAAACCTCAAACACTTAAACTCAACTAGGGCTAAGAGTGGATGGCTACGGGGCTTACCTGGGCCCAAAGTAATTAGAGTAAGAGCATTTTAAAGGTATTCGGCCATTCTTTCAGCTACTTGTGGGGATTTAGGTAGAGTTTATCCAGAGGTCCCAGCCGATTTTGCATGTCTTCGAGCACGGCGTCTGCTCGCGCCACGTCGCCGGACCTGCCAGGACTTCGGGCAACACAAGAAATTTGAGTTTAGGGTTTACCTTAACACTGAAGAACCTACCTTTTTAAGGACTTATATAAGGAAAGTCATCATAGGGAACCTTAAAAAGGTAGGTTATTCAGGGTTAAGGTAGGGTTCAGGTAAAAAAGAACCCAAAGCAATGAGCTCAAAGCTACAATCCCAATCATGCTCTGATCAGATCGTGAAAACCTTTTATACTCAGGGTGTGTTTTTTTTACAAACCCCTTGGAACCGCCACATCCTTTACAGAATCCTTTCCGAACCCTTATAGAACACTTAATAATTATACCCTGGACGGAATGAAATTTCTCTTTCAACCCGAAGCTCTTCGGCCCAAAACGCTGTCGCCTGGCGCAGGCCTTCAGGACTGAGTTGAAAGTCCTTCCGAGCAGCGCGTTCGTTTAAGGTTTAGGGCTTAGGGCCTACAGTTCCTTAAAGGGTTCCTTTAAGGTGCTTAGGGCTTAGGGCTTTAAGGGCTTAACCCTGAATAACCTACCTTTTTAAGGCTCCTTAATATGATTTCCTTACAGAAGTCCTTCAAAAGGTGGGCTATTCGGGGTTTAGGTAGGGCTTGGGGCTTCGGGTTGGTAGGGCTTCAATTTTGGGAAGGCTTCAGGCTTTACTTAGAGGATCAGGGGACTTAGTAAGTAGGGTTATAAGTATATAAGGTAACTATAGTTATATCCACTTATAACCTTCATTAAGGTGCTTCTAACCCTACTTACCAAGTCCCATGATCCTCTAAGCAGCTTTGGGTCCTCAGAATGTCGGGTTTAGGGTTGAGAGTTTAGAACTGACGGTTCAGGGCTGAGGGCTTACCCATAGACCCGCTTGTGGTTCCTTTTTGGGGGTTCATGCTTAGAGTCCTATGAGGTAACACCCAAACTAGGAGGCCCAGTAACCTGGGAATAAAAAGGGCTCCCTTTTCGGTACTGGGTAACTTTACGAGGCATCTATGAAGGGCCATTAGGGCTCCATGAAAGGGCCATTGGGGGATCCTGGAGAACCCAACTGCCCTTTAATAGAGCCCTTATGGCCCTCAATAGCGGGTGTTTAAGGTATGTTAGAGGGTAGTTGGGGGGGTCTAGGTAAACCCCAAACCCTATACTATACTGAACTTGGACCCGTAGCAAAAAAGCTATAATTTTAGCCGTCTCTGTGGGGTTATCATAACCAAAGGGTAGAAAAACACAGATTTCTAAGTACCCCTACGTATAAGAACCATGGGATCCATGTTCAGAACCCCAAACATACCCTAAACTTGTTACTCAGTTTCCTATATAGATTTGGGTGTTTTCGTGCACAAGCATTGGGGTTTTGGCCGCAAAAGCAGCTGTCAACCAGTATTCAAGAGCTTGCGCCTCTGATTGGCGATCAAGAAGAGAGTTAATGCGTTTGCCTTCAATGCCGAACCGATACGAAGAGCGCAGCTTAGAGCATAAACAAGGAAGGAACTTGGCGATCGAGCAGTTATTCCTCACCATGGGCTCGTACATTACATTACGTCACAGCACATTGCATACACCATTGCATAACACTATTTATTATGTATTGCCCTTTAACTTGCCAGATTTGTTGGGTTGTAGCCGGGTACCCAGAAAGCCCAATACCCCTTAATTAACGAATATGGCTTAAACTATATAGGGCTTCATATTATGAGTTAAGCTATATTCCTTAATCAAGGGCTATTGGGCTCTCTGGGTACTGAATACATCGAGCCTGAACGCTTGAGTTGGGGTTTCAGGTACTGGGTGGTCTGAGTCCCCGACACTGGCGTGGGAACGGTGTTTCGGCCGTTGCAGGACATCTCGTCTAGCAAGGATAGCGCCTGTCACGGGATTAGGAAGTGCTCAACGGTTGCCATTGTCTCAAGTATGTCGAAATTTCGCATATAGTTGTGACCTCCCCGGACAGTTGTGTTGTTGGGTTGCAGGCTCGGGCCCACAGGGTCGTGTTCAAGGAGAGAGGTTGCAAAGTTCAGCGTTTGGTGCTGGGTTGGGTCGACGGAATCCCATTTCAACATGTGAAGCTTGGAGTCTCTTTCATGGCAGCCCGCAAAAGAAAACTCTCAAAAACAGGATCCGAATTGAAAAGGATCGGAACTGTGATGATACACCTACCTCACTCACGAATTCCCCAGTTGCTAACTGGGTGTGTAAACGACACTCAGAGAGGTCAGGAAGTTTAGGTCGAGCTTCTGGGCATGCAGGCAGTGCTAGAAGTCAAGCTGTACATTACGATTTCAAGGTCGTGCACTCAATGAACACAGGAAGCCGCAGCTTTTGTAGCTTTCAGGAGACCTGAGAATTCAAGCTTCCGAAGGCACTTGCGAAGTATCTTCCAGTCCTGTCCTACTCAGATGGCTTTGCTACAGGTTTAGGTTCTAAGAGCTTGGCTTGGGGCCTAATTAGGGCCATTTTGGGAATTAGCTGTCCTCGACTACAGTTGCACTCCGACGTAAGCTTCAGAAAGATGGAACCTGTGAACCCAAAGGGAGAGCTCTCGGCTCCTGTTTTATGCTTAGAAAAGATCACTCCACCCGTTACTATACAGCACCCTTTAGTAGTATCGCGTTCCAAAATTAGGGGATACAGTAGCCCTTAGTGGTATACGGTCCCAAATTAGGGGTCCGGCCTTCCCCACATCGCCGTTTGCAGCAAAAGCATCGATGACAGCGTTGAAGCTCACGGTGTCTGCCCTTGGCATGGATTCCATTTAAGCAATGAAGTCCAAGTTACACCAGGACCCTCACAGTTCGCAGGTACGCTCAATGCCCTAATCAAGCCCTTATGGCCTTTCATCGTGACAGAGTTTACTGCGGGCAGTCGGCGTCTGGGAATGTGCATCTGCTAAGGCCAGGAACAGCATGTGGGTAAGCCTTATACCCCGTTAGCCGCTAGCCATGAGGCCCAGCCCGGATACGACTTCCTTGCGACTTCAGCGAAGAATGTTGACGCGCAGGGTACAGTCGACCTTCGCAGGGCTCTCTAAGTCTTTAGTCCCCTGAACGGCCAAGTATCCCGAAAGCTGGGCCCCCGCGCTTGATGCCTTGCGAGCAGGTCGCACGCAGGATCGAAAGCGCCCGGTCTGGAAGGTCATCGGGAGCAATCAAAGGCTTTGAGTTTAGGGGTATAGGGGTTTACCGTCCAGGGTTCAAAGTTTAGAGGTTTACAGTTTTTTGGTTTTCAAGCAACACGTGCCCTCTTGGGTTGGATGATTAAGCGGGGACATCACGGCAGGTTCCTAAAGGGGGGTTTAGGGTTGGGGTTTAGGCTTTAGGGGTTGGGTTTAGGGGTTGAGCGCTCTAGGGTTCAGGGCGGTGACCACCCAAAGGATCTTACGTACTATCGGGGCCTCAAGAAATTGGAATAGGGTTTTCATTCGGTTTAATGTAAAGGCCTTAATTATTAGAATAGGGTCTTGGGGCTGTATCATAGTACATCTGTAAGAAGGAACTGCAAGGAATGGTTTTGGGATCACCGAAATACTCTGGGCTCTTGGGAGGTTAGGCCTGGGGTCCAAAGAAATCAAGTGTTGATGATGCTTTGGCAGTTCTTTAAGCTCAGGCTTCAGGATCATAATGTAGTGAAGGTTGAAAGAAGGCTATGTAGGTCCGACTTTAAACCCAAATGTCGGGACCGTAGGGTTGCAGGGTATATTATGCCTTAAGTGTGCTCTTCAGACCCCATATTATGAAACTCTGAACACAACCCGCAATGCTCAACCCTAATCCAAACTTTGCCTCCGTCGCCCAGCTTGGCCCAGCGGTGGATCACCCACGCAGCCTCCAGCCTCATAGCTGAAAAGGTACCCTTTAGGATAAGGCTTTTGTAGGTCGGTGGTTGCGAGTTGTTAGGCACTTGGATCCTTCGGCGGTGGGGTTTCGCCATGTCAGACTAGGGGTTGAGTGGCTGACGGAGTATTCGAGAGCTGAAGAAGTTGTTCAACTGGTTCGGGCTTCAGTTTGGGTAACTTTGTGGTTCGGAATGCTAGAGTTCAATACTGCGGCGGTCCTTCTGATTTCATCCCGTGGGTCCATACCTCCGCTAGCCAGACGAATTGCTGGACTCAGCGTACTACTTCCTGTAATCTGCGTACTCCCCTTAACTGCAGTAGCGGTCTCCCGGGCATGCAGGGCGCTGTCCCTTCTAGCTCTTCGGGTTCTGCCGTTAGTGTCCCGAGATTGGGGAAATAACAGAAGCAGGGCTCGGGCTTACACTTGCGCGCTTACTGCGGGATCAGGCTTTGGCGACTGGATGCCCAAGGGCCACGGGAGTTGAGAGTTGAACGTTGAACCCTTGCGTTATATAAGGTTTAGGGTTTATGGCCTAAGAGCCCCGAAACCCCAAACGCTGAGCCCGAAACTCCTAAGTCCTTAATCTTAAGCCCTGCTTCTTAAAGAAAGCCCTAAACTCTGAAAACGGCCCGAAGCTCCAAATCGCGGCAGCCTGTCAGCCCTGATTTATGCGACAAAGAAAAATACCACATCGACCCTCAGCTCGCATTTCTGGCCTTGGTTCCTGTGCTACCCCGAAGAAACAAAGGTTTAGGGTTTGGGGTTCAGGGGTTTAGGGTTTTGGGGAACACCCTGCACTCACCGGCGAAGGCCCAGACTTGTCTGGGGGCGTCCTGCGTGCGGTGCTCCCGTTGACGTAGAGGCAGGAAGGGGTTTTCGACTTCAGAAGGTACTGTGCTTGGAGGATCATGAGACTTAGTAACTTAGTGATTTGTAAGGCGGGTTACAAGTATCCTATAGGGGGTATAAGTAGACATAACTATGGTTACCTTGCTTATAACCTTACTTACGACGTCCCCTCATCCTCGAAGTACCCTTGATGGAGCGCTTACTTAGTCCTTACTGACGGGCATCTAAGAAACGGATGCTGGGTCCAGGTCACACTCATATTTGAAGTCTTTTTCTCGGTTCCCCAGTGTGCCCTCTATAATAAGGGCACCCTTTGTATTCAGAATTAATACGGGGATCCTAAAATCCTAAAACACAAAAGCCGAAAAGGTACTACTAAGAAACCTAGTTCTGTACAGAGACTTCAGGCTTGGGACGTGTAGGGTTTAGGGTTTTATTGTAGTGGTTTGAGAAGAAGGAGAAGAGAACGAAAGTAATGGAGGTTGAACCCAGCATACTTCAAAGCCCTACCCCTTGACGTCCTTACCTCTGAGCTTGAAGGGCTTGAAGGTGTTTTGAGAATTACGGGTTTAGTGTTTACCACAAGCCAGAAAAACCCTACCTTTTTAGGGCTTATACATAAGGAAGTCCTACTCGGGAACCCTAAACAGGTAGGTTGCTAAGGGTTTAGGGTTTATGGATTGGGTTGAGGTCAAGCTGCGGCTTGCGTGGCTTCCGAATTTCCTAGCGGCTTCAGGGCTCTTGGGCCGCACTTTAGGTTCACTTGCAGGATCATGGGACTTAGTAAGCAGGGATATAAGTAAAGCAACGGTAGCTATATCTACGTATAACCCTGATTAAAGTACTTGTAACCCTACTTACTAAGTCCCATGATCCCCTAAGCAGGTTCTAGGGTTTTCCAAAAAAGTGTTTCGGGGTTTGGGGGTTTGGAACTAGAACCAAGGGACTTCGCAAGTGGGGTCGCACTGAAGTTGTGTCTGAGACAGTTCTCTTCAGAGCAATGAGACCCGGCTTCTTGTGGGGAATCATGACCCTCCTCCCACCACCCGTTGTTGGGCTCTGATTACGGAATTGAGTTTTAGATGCCATCGTCACGATCTATACTCAATAATACGGACTCCTTATTATCGTAACTTAAACCAAACTCCTTAACCCGAACCCATTATTTGAGAGTCTTGCAAACTTCCACTCCCAAACCCTGAACCATGACCCTGAACGCGACCCTAAACCCTAAACCCCAGCACGGCTGGAGCCTGTCTCGCTCTGGAGTCGAGTTTAGGGTTGCTGCAAGTTTAACTGTAACCACCCATCTCGAAACAAAAACCCATGCACCCCCCCTGAAAATCGACTAAACTCCTGAACTCTAAAACCCCAGTTTGCGAAGCCTAAACCAAAAACCTAAATCTACAATCTCCGAAACGTCCGGCAGGTTAGATGTCGGAGAACGGCGGTTGTGTTTTGTTTATTTTACCAAAACATAGTGATGTCATGCGAATGTTTGAACCAACCGCGGAGCGGCATGTGTAGAGAGACTTGTCCCTGCCGGCCCCTGACTGCCAGAAAGTGGCTAACAATGACGCACATTGTACCAGCCTGGGAGCCGTTGCATGACATGCATGTACATCTCAAGGACCTGAGTCGACTTTTGCATTGCGATCATCAAATAAGCCTGCAGTCGAGCCACTGCCTGTCAAGCTCTTTGTGCAGGCATTCTGTCTCTGCCTGCGCCGGTGTCTCATCGCAATGCGAACTCGCCATGCTTCCCTGATCCGAATGAGCACTCCTCGGCATCAAGCTGCTGCATGCCAGACTCGAGCTCCTTGGAAGTGGCAGAGCGAGCAGAGAGAGAACAGTGCTGACGCGCCCTGCGAACGATCCCAAAAGACCCGTTTTCGTTCTGCTTCCAACTTCTGCCAAAGACATGCATCTGCCTTCGGTTGCTTCTCTTGCTTTGAACCCGAAATGATTCCCTGCCGGCCTCTGACTGGACAGGTGCGTGCACGTCCAAGTAAAGATTGCGATACAAACAATTCCGCTGGAATCCTGCTGAAGAAAATGCCCCAATCGCCTCGCTCAGGCAATCTCAAAAAGTTTGATCATAGCTTTGAAAGGTACGAAATCTTTTGGGCCGGCTTGGCTTCGTGAAACAGTCTCGACATGGCGCCTCTTCAGAATGCATCGCCCTTGCTGTTCATTGATGAGTCGATGCCATTTGACACGGTCCGAATGGCTAGGGAGCTTACCACCCAGTTTGCGGGGGCCCATCGTTTAAGCAGGGACCACTTGGCTTCGATGGCGTTGGTGCAGTAGCCATTGCTGTTCTTGATCTCCCCCGCACTATGGTTGACCTTCTCATGAGGCAAAGTTCTCTCGGTGAGCTGATGTTGCCGTCTGAATGCCTTGACTGCGGAAGTTGTTGCAGGCCAGGAATCAGTGAGGAAGATATCCCCCTTTGAGAGACCCAACATACCAAGGTTGTCGAGCATGTCCGCATGTCCACGGGGCTGCCCAGCTGCTGCTTCAGACGTCTGTTTCAGGAAAATGAAGTGGGTAGAAACACATCCCTCAAGAACCGCTCCCCAAATCCAAACCTGATCCTTCTAAGGACGTTCAGTTCTGGATAAAGATCCGGCCTTTGTCTTGTTGAGATACGACTCATCGACCTGGGTGTTGGTAACGAGCTTCTTCCGAAGGCCACTGGCTGGTCTCTTGCAGGATGCCGGTCGCTTCATCCTGGAAGGTGCCTTTTTCGAACCATGTTGATGTAGCGTCTGAAACATGTTACTTTGGAAGCCTTGCCGAAGTTGGAAGTCTGTCTGTTGAAAGTGGGCCAACCACATGCTGTTTGCAAATGCTGAGTTCCAAAATGATGATGTTCCGTTGGTATTCCTTGGTCCACATCAAGAAGCAGTCCAGCTTGTCCAACCAGAGTTTGGGGTGGCTGCCCTTGAAGAACCCAATGCCGCTAGCGGTGATTTCGGCGTTTTGGCATTTCATGCACGAGTCATCGTATCGAGGGCCTCTCCAGACGAACCTATCTGCTATCATGATGTCTGTGATGCAACATGAGCAAGTAGGGACAAGAGCAACATGAGCATTGAGTCCAAGGGATGCTCTATTTTTCGCCTGCTAGATGCTGAGAGTCGCGTGTGTCGGACGAATGCTTTCGCATGCGGCTGCACGTAATCCTGGAGTAGCCAACCCAACACTTGTCCTGCACAGCATACAAGTACATGTGTCCAACTACCCACCCTCGTATGTATGTGTTGAGGCTTAAAAAGAAAAGGGTCCTCCAAAATCGTGTTGGCAGTGGGCGCCGTTCATGATCTAGTTTGCGGAGGAGTCGATGCACCATGGCCCATGACATCTGCGTCCTCCTCACTGACAACATCCATGACATCACCAGGGCCTGCAAAAGCGGGATTTGGAACCGACACATCAGGATGGAGCGGGACCACTGACACATGGACAGGAATGCGTCGAAGTTCCTAGAGCCTTCCGGGGAGTCCAAGTCGATGACGGAATTGACATTGGATTTGAGCTCATGTGACCACATCGTTGCCTTCTTGTGAACCCACTCCTCCTGTTCCTTTTTGACTTTGAGGGGCGCATGCGCGGAAGCCGAAGACGTAGAACAGGTTTCACCGAAGAGGGCCTGAGGCACCTGTTGACGAGCATGATAATCGGGCTTACGTTTTTCCAGGCGATGGCACATGATTGTGGTGACCCAAGCCTGTTCACGAGCAACTTCTTGCGGGTATGGCATCGCGATGAGATTTTTCAGCGTCGGAAATGAAGGCGCCCTTTATGCTCTCCCAAAAAGGTTTGAAGGGGATGGAGGGTTCGAAATAGAAAACATTGGGCAAGGCATCCTCATCCAATGTGTTATCCGCACACGCACGAGGCTCGCTCTGCACCCACTTCGTTGCCCCCCATCTCGCCCACACCATGGACTCATACAACCCCACATCGAGGAAATGTTTCAACACCTCTGTGCTCAAGGACCTCAAAGTCGTATCATCCAGGAAGTCGCCCATCACCACCGACCCGGGCTCGCCCCTGAGAAAATCGATTTCCGCCGTACATCGAATGCACGGGGCGTCCCTGGCCTGGAAGCGGACTTTGTTGCGGCGCACCTGTGCCACTAGGACACTCCGGCCTAGGGGGATTTTCCAACACCTGTATGCCCCTCCAGCAACAATGCACTTCGGTCGAAGTCCCAGATTTCCTCTAGCATGTCCAAAGGCCAAGAGTGGTAGTAAGCGCTCGTCAGCGGGATTGGCCAATCGTATTCCTTCTTGGCCAACGCACCGTCTCGGGCGAGGTTCCCCAGGGCCTTCTCGACAAGGCCTGGTGGCCATTGACAAATCGGCGATGCTGTTTTTTTTCATGTTCTTGGTCATCCAGCGGAGGCGCGCCATTTCCGTGGTAGACCTGGGGGCATCGCTTTGGATGAAATGGTTTTGGTTTGGCATCTCGGCTGGGATTATCTTTGTTGGTTTGGGTTTTGGTTTGGCATCTCAGCTGGGACGTTGTTCTTGGTGGCTTTGGTTTTGGTTTCTTTGTTTTTTTCGGTTTCTTTGGTTATTGTGGGTTTTGGAGTTTTTGTGGGAAGGGCCGCAAAACGACGCGTCTTCGCAAAACTAGCCAAACGCAGGCGCAGTTTTCCGGCCCCAAACCCGTCCGGCAACCCTAAACTCGAAACCGCACAACGAGCCCAAATATACTCCCAAACCGAGTAGCTTAAACCCTAAACCCTGTAACCCTACTTGGAGCAAGTAGTGTCATAAGTAAGGTAACTACCTTAAAACCTCTAGAACCCTGAACCCTAATTAACGCCTATAAACCCTAAAACCCTAAATCATAAAACCTAGAACACCGAAACCTTCCAAAGCCCAAACTCAAAACCCCAAAACCCCCCTCAACCTGACAGACTGGCGCCTGCGAGCAAACATGTCTTCGAGCAGCGTCGACGCCGCCTCCACCGAGCCGGCGTCCTTCAGAACTCACAAGGAATAGGCCTTAGGATTTAAGGTTTCGTAAGGGTTTATAAGGGTTTAGCGGGTTTAGAGGGTTTCGGGTTTAGGGCTCAGGGTGTGCGCTTTAGGGTTGAGGGTTTATAAAGGTTTAGGGAATAGGAATACCCTCGCGGCTCAATAACGAGAGGGTCTTGTTTTATATGGTGCCCATATCTAGGGTTTCATGGTTCTTATAGATGGGTTCTTCTAGGATTAACGATGCCTTGGGGCTAAATTCTTGTTAGAGACTAATTACTATGGGATCTTACATTGAATTCCTCAAAACGCACCATTTAAGAACTCGAGTAGGGTTTTATTAAGGTTGATATTACGGGTTCTTAGAGGTTCTTGATTTAACATCGGGGGCATTAGTAATTGGATGCGGCATTGGGATACAACGCATAGCACATTGGTAAAGGGAATGTCTACTGTAGGATTGAACATCTGAGCCATCAACAATTACAACGGAATTGTAGGGCATGTTCTTCACAATTGTAAACGGGCCTTTGGCTCACAGCATGCAAGGCTTGAGACTTCTACTTGGAGGAGGACCATGGGACTTAGTAAGCAGGGTTATAAGTAAGGTAACTATAGTTATATCTACTTACAAGCTTTATTAAGGTACTTATACCCCTACTTACTAAGTCCCATGATCATCTAAGTAGCTGCCAGGGTTGACTGTGTAGAGCTTGGGGGTCAGGGTTTAGGGTTGATCTGAACTTGCTTTTGGCAACTTCTTTCCTGGCCTGTGCTCTCCAAGCACTATAAAGGGCGGCCAGGCAAACTTCCGTAGTGCCTACCAAAACAATCTAGGGTTTGGTATTTCCGGGTTCAGGCTTCTGCGGCTTGGGGCTCCACTCGCAGCCTCCACATATGCACGTCCAGACTGTTACTGCCTAGGGCACCAAACACATTCTCAAATCCTTGACTCCCAAGATGGGAGTACCCTAAATAGTAGCATCCTTATTATAGGGACCCCAAAAGGAGGTACTCCCTAATTTTCGGAGACTCCCAAGATCCGAAGAAGCCCCAAAACCCGGAGCCTGGACTACTTCGAGGATCATGGGACTTAGCATGTAGGGGTATCAGTAGGGTTATAAATCCCCTAAGTGGTGTTATCCTAATTATAACCTACTTATTACAACCTTACTTACTAGGTCCCATGAGCTTACAAGTATACCAAAGTATTCCAGGCCGCCAAACCCTGAGCACCAGGCCTGAATCCCTAACTCCAACACACCTTTCTCACGTCAAGGAACCAGAGGAGATGCTCTTAATTCTTGTCCGGCCCATGTCCGGGCAATCCCCGAAAAGCTACAGAATGTAGACCTCTGATAAACGCACGCAATCTTAAAGGGCCACACTTCTTGTTGTTCGGAGCCCCGCCATAATCCCCTTTTAAGGTTGAGATCTACTAAACCAGGATTATGTTCCGCCCTGGGTCCCTCCCCCGGGGGCGCACGGACAAACGCTGTGGCGCGAAACAAGTCGGCGTGCCGCGATCGAGGGAGCAAACCTCAGTGGACGGGCTATCCATGTGAGTCTACCTCTCTATCTGTACCTGTGTGTACATATATATATATATATATATATATGTATATATATATATATATACAGCGAGAGAGAGAGAGAGAGAGAGAGAGAGAGAGAGAGATAGAGAGAGTCGAAAAAGAAAGCAAGAACTCAAGCAGTAAAAAACGAAAGACTAGAATAACGAAAGAGAGACCGTGAGCAAGAGAG